ATGAGCAAATGTGATATGTGATATTCCTGTCAACACTTTTAAGAGGCAGGTGTGTTTCCTTTATGTTATCTGTTCCCCCTTCTTATAGCAAGATGCAGATGATGACAAGGCTCTAGGGAAACTCAAAGTCACAGGATAGAAAGAGCCTAAAATTTTGAATAACCATGTATTGGACACCATGTGGATGAGAAGAGATATCTATTATGTTTGAACCGTTATATATTTTCAGGTCTGTTTGTTATAGCAGTTTTGCCTACTCTGTTTTTCATCCTATGGATGTACCATAATTTTTAAAGAAATGCTTTTTATTAGACTGTAGTAGGTTGTTAAAATGGCCCCAAATGAATGAATCACTTCTCCCTGTGTCCATGCCTCTTTGTAAAGTATCTTTACTGCTTTTTCTAACAAGAGCTGGAGTCTGTTTCCCATTCTTTGAATCTGGGCTGCCCTTATGACTTGTCTTAGACATAAGAGAATATGATGAAAGTGGCATTTGTGGACATCTGAGCCCAGATTCTAAAAGGCCTCAAGGCATCTGCTTTTGCTTAGGGTGGATCCCAGCTGCCATGTAAAGAAGTCCAGGTTATCCTATTGGAGAGACAGTCTATGTGGGGAGATAGGTTCCAGAGGATGAGAAACCACATGGAGAGGGAAGCCATATGGAGGAGAACCAAGGCCCCAGACATATGTGTGAGCCCAGCTAATGCCATGAAAAGAGAGACCCTGCCATCCCAGCTCACCCTCAGCCACTTGAACCATCCCAGGGGGAGCGTCAGATCTGTGAGTGAGGCCATCTTGGGTCCCCTAGATCCAGTCAAGCCTCCCAGCCAATACCACGTGAAGGAGAAATAAGCCATCCCCGCAGAGCCCTGCCCAAACTCCTATCCCACAGAACTGCGAGCAATAAAATGATTGTTATTTCCAGTCACTAAGTTGCAGATTGTTAACCAGCAATAGATAACTGATACATGGGTATTTATATGTTTCCAAAGTTTTGTAAAAGACAGTGATGAGCATCTTTGTACTGGCTCCCTCTTCTATCAGGGGACTTTAAGTTGCTGGACATGGTTAAGTCTGGAATCAAGTAAGAAGTCATGTCTCTCCATTTTGGTGCTCAAATTATGTTTCTGGCCCCTCCTATACAGATGAAGAAATATTTTAATAGGCTGCCATCTGTTCAGTTCCTACAGACATTGTGATCAATGAGCTACTACTAAAGATCCCTGCTAGTCTAAACAATTTGGCTGCCATTTTGTCCATATTGCCCATTATAGGAAATGCACCAACCTTGTCTCTTGTAGTTAATTTTTGCCACTTGGCCTTTCATTCTGAGATCCCATCATCTCTAGTGAAAGCAGGGAGCCAATTTCAGTGGCAGCATCTTCTACCATCACCCTAGTCTACAGAGGACAGACATCACAGAACTTTGTGAGGATACTAGTTGCCCTCATTAAGGTATTTCTCAATGCCTCAGTGGAGGAGTGACCTCTCAGAGGACATAGCTGGGGGTGGGTGGGTGTGTGGGTGTGTAGATCGCAGATTATACAACCACACCATCATTCCAATTTCCCTGAGCCCTTGGATTCCTCCTTTCATATTATGTCAGGAAAATTCTGGCATCTTACCTTCTTTAAATATAGGTTATAGCTGAGTTCAAGTTTTAATCCGCAAAGAAAACTGCTAGACACACTTCTAACTTCAAGAATCTCTAGTAACTCATATGATGACGCATATCAATGCCTATGGCCTAATTTAGTGTTTTATATTCCACTTTCTTTAGTCTAATACACTTAAAATCCACTATTATTTTAGTTTCTGTCAATAAAAATTGGAAACACTTTGCAATTATTTTGGAGAATAAACTATCTCCTTCCATGTCAGACTTCGTGTTTGTCCTCCTGGACCAAACTGAGATCTGACTTGAATTATAGCTCTAGAGATGATGAAAGTGTTTGGGGTGGGTCTTGAGGTTATTAGGGTCTTCACGTGAAACAAGTCTTCTCAGACCAAGAAGGCAGGCTGCTCCAGGATTCTCAGCTTTTCCCAAGTCAAACTAGATTATTCCTATTCCAAGTCTCAGAGTCTTTCTTACCAATCAACGCCCTAACTTTCACATACAAGACTTGTGAGTCTACGAATTCAATTTAGGTTGGAATTCTGCCACCCACAGAATTAAATTTTGGGTCATGGTCAGCCCTGAAGCTATAATAAGTAATTCTTTTAGGGCCACCATAGAAGCTCTGCGCTTCGCTATGACTTGAGCTAAGAGTTAAAGATCTGAGCTTGCCATTTTTCATAGACTCTCTAGTGAAGTCAGAAGCATCACTGCTACCATAATGGTCATCTGGTCCCCCTGGTGCTTCCGAAGGCATTTCAGCACAATCAACCTCGGTGATTAAGCATGATGCCAGAGCACAGCATGGATTTCTCAAATCCCATTTTCCCTTGGTAAGGAGATTACTACTGTGTCCAAAGCTAAGGACATGGCCAAACCGACCTCCGAATCCCATTTCAAGGGGCTGTTTCCTACGACTACTTCTTGTTCCAAGTATCGTATCAGCGAGAGTCCATTAGTAAAACAGAAGCATACTAAGTATTTCACCAGAGAGAGTTTAATATAAGGAATTGGTTAAATAGATATTTAAGAACTGAAAAGCACACATGCAGCACTGAGGTAACACAGAGATAACTGCTGAAAGCAGTCACAACCCCTGAACCTGAGGAGACGTGGGGAAGAGTTTGGGGTTATCAGAATTTAGACTTTTGGAGGAAAGGATCTGCTGAATTGGGACTCAGATTTTTGAAGAGAGAACACCAGCCAGGTGCTTCTAGTACCTCTGAGGAGTCAACTAGTTCTGTGAGCATGTCAAAAAGAGTCAGGGACTAGAACCAACTGTCATTACCTGGGATGAAGAGCAGTTGCCAGGCAACACTGTCAAGAGTAAGGGAGCAAACAGGAAGGAACGAGTCCCTTCGCTCTGCCTCCTGCCTTCCAATCTCCCTCTAGTGGTCCATACTGGGATAACTATCAGCTGGCAGAGAGGCTGTGGTTTTGCAGAGTCCCATCCACAGTAACACGTGAAGTATAGAAGGGTGGCATTGAAGCTGAGGCCACAGCTGGATGGGGCAAAAAGTTTATGTCTCTGAATATATTTGTGCACACACACACACAAATATCCTAAGACTTTGATACGCACTATTTTGGCAATAAAAATAATTTTTTTCTCATTACAACAGCAACACATATTTACTTCTTTCCTTCAAATAGAAAATACAAATAAGCTTATAGAAGAAAAAAGATCCATCCTACTTCTGGAAAGATAACCATTGTTAATACTTTCATTTATATCTTTCCAGACCTTTTCCTCAACATGTGGATGTATGTTTTTTTCATGGAATCACATTATACATACAGCTCTCTAAACTGCTTTAAAACATACCTTACTGTATCAACAGAAATTGCTCACGTCAATTCATACTTACTGATTTGCACCAGTGGCTTCCTAGGAAGTGTCTCTGGGCTACCTCTAGAGGCCTGGGTAGGAGGCATCTGTGGGAGGGCCCTGTGTCCTACCAGACCCCTAACCACTGCCATTCTGCCTTTACTTGTTTTATATATTGATTTCTATGTAAGATTTTGTGGGAAAAAAAGAAATCCATTGCCAAAATATTAGAAAACAGCTGATTCATTGTGTGAATATAATATTTTCCATTTTCATGATTACAACAACAAAGGCTAACTTTGTATGTAAATTTTTGTCCAAAGCCCTAGTAACACAGGACACCATACTTTTTACTCTATTTGACAGTACCTGAAAATTATTTTAATCTATTTCTTGGATTACTAATGACATACACAAGGCTTTATAATTTAATGGTCATCTGTGTCTATGGCAGTTTTTCTTTGCAGACTCGAAATTTTTAAAACATGGCTCTAAATCTTAACTTTCTCTCTAATGTACAGGCCATGCCTCTTCCATATCCCCCAGTTCAAGGACGCTCTGATTTCAAATATCCACTGCTCACCCAGAACCCCTCTCCCTACCCTCTATTCTCATACTGATTGAAAATCCTCCTTCACTGACAACACAGGAGCTCTCATTCCAGGGCCCCCTCATCTTTCCGTAATATTACCCCATCGCAAACATATCCATATCTAAAGTTATCTTTAGTTTTCCTCCTGGCTCAGAGAATAAAAGCTTTTTGACGTTTAAGTCAACCCCTCTACCGAAGCACTTGATCCCATCCCTGCTTGGCTCCTCTGGGCCCTTGTATGGTGCCTGGTAAACAGCTGATGCTCAAAAACTTTGTTGAATGAATAACGGGTCTTGCTCCATCAATTCTCTCCCCTTTATCTCTTTAGTATGTCCACCTTCTCTCACTCTTTTGGCTCCTTCCCCTTGGCCTTTATATATGAGCAAATCATTTCCTGTCTGTGACAGTTAGTCTTATATATCAACTTGGCTAGACTATAGTACCCAGTTATTCAATCAAACACTAGTCTAGGTGTTGCTGTGAAGGTATTCTGTAGCTGGGAGTATCAGCTACAATCAGTTGATTTTATGTAAAGGAGATTATCCCAGGTAACCTGGGTGAGCCTGATCCAACCAGTTTAAACTGAGGTTTCCCTGAACACAGGAAGGAGGAAGAAGAAATCCCACCTGTAGGCTGCTGCAGCAGCTCCTGCCTGAGACTTTCCAGCTGCCCTTCCTGACGGCCTCCCCTATGGACTTCAGACTTGACTATCCAACCCCTACAATTGTGCAAGCCAATTTCTTTCAATAAATCCCTTAATATTTATATCTTTTTTTTCCTGAGGAAGATTCACCCTGAGCTAACATCTGTGCCAATCTTCCTCTATTTTTTCGTATGTGGGCCGCCAGCACAGCACAGCTGCTAACAGAGCAGTGTAGGTCTGTGCCCAGGAACCAAACCTGGGCCACTGAAGCAGAACATGCTAAACTTAACCACTAGGCCACCAGGGCTGGCCCCAAATATATATCTTACTGGCTCTGTTTGACTGGTAGAACCCTGACTGATACACTATCCTTAAAATCAGAACAAAACAAAACAACACCTGCTTAATCCTGCATCTCTCTGTTACCACATAAACTCTGTCTTCCCTTCTTATCTAAAAACATTATCCTACATTCACCACCTCTACATCCTCCCTTTGCCATCACCCCTTGAGCTACAGTCCCATTTATTCAACTGGAGAATTGGACATATTCTTGTGGGCAGCCCATGAGCAATCTCACCTCAGTATATCAAAAGTTATCTCCTTATCCCTGCCTCCTACCTAAAACTGCTCTTGTTTTGAATGCCATATCTCAAACTCAAAGCAAAAATCTGGAAGTCATACTAGACTTCTAAGTACCTAAATATCAGACATCTAAGTCAGTCATACTATCTTCAGTGCCAATGTTTGAATTCAGACATTCATCATGTCTTGCCTCATTTTGTAACAGATTCCTTTACTTCCTTACTCCCAGCCTCATCTCCTTCAAATCTGTTCTCGAGTGCTCTTCCTTTGATGGAAGGTGATTAAACTACCCTGCCTAAGTCTCAGTGACTCCCTTATCACCTACAGCAAGGGCTCCCCAATCCAGAGCACTAGCACAAGGATCTTTTAAAAAACACAGATTAGGGCCCTACTCAGACCTAATGAATAAGAATTTCCAAAGGGGGGGGGGCCTGAAAATTTCTGTTTTTAAAAGCTATCCAGGTTATCAGGCAGTTTTGGGAACCACCAGCCTTCAGAGTAAAATCCAAATTCTACCCACGATCTGAGACCACCACTCCCAGCTTCCTCCCTCAGCACACATCATGCTCCAGCAATACGGATCCAGGACTAGCGACTCTTCCAACCCATGTTGTTCAACACCTCTGTCAGGAATGTCCTTCCTCCCTTATCTGCCTGAGAAATTTCTATTCATCCTTTAAGAACTCCATTCAAGCATCAGCTGGTCTCTTATTCAGCCAGTAAACATTACCAAACTCATGACATTGTACGCGTTAAATATGTGTGGTTCTTTGTATAGCAATTATACCTCAATAAAACTGTTCAAAATGTATTAAGGTCCTACTACATGCCAGGCTCTGAGCTAAGCACTGAGATATAAAGATCAGGGAGCTGTATTGGTGGCACCACCTTCATGAGCTCACATGCCACTGGGGAAGGAGACATACAAATGCACAAGTGAACACAATACAGTGAGGTAAATTATGAGAGAGTCTGTGCTAGGCTGAATAACGGCCCCCAAAGATGTCCACATCCTAGTCCAAAGAACCTGTGAATATGCTACTTTACAGTGCAAAACAGGTTTTGTAGACGTGATTAAGTCAAAGATTGTGAGATGGGGAAATTATCCTGGGTGATTTTGGTGGGCCCAATGCAATCACCAAGGTCCTTTTAAGACGAGGCAGGCAGAAGGGTGAGAGAAAGAGAGGGTGGAGAGAGATTGGAAGATGCTATGCTACTGGCTTTGAAAATGAGAGATGGACACATGAGCCGAGGAATGCAGGTGGCCTCTAGAAGCTGGAAAAGCAAGGAAATGATGAATTCTCCCCGAAAGCCTCATAGTGCTGGTAAACGGCAGAACTGGAATTCGAACCTTGACGGTGTGTCTCCAGAAACCACTAACAACCTCTCTAATACGTTACGGTTGGGGCCTTACGTACTTAAGTAGGACGGCATCACTGTGGCTGAAGGTTAATGAACTATTAGAAAGACATTAACGAGGTGAGGATCAGTAGAACTTGGAACACCGTGTGTCTAGGACACTGGGAGAGGATGGGGTTGAGGGAGTCAGACGGCCTCCAAGCTTCTTTGATGTGATGGCGGTGCTGCTGCTCAAGACGGAGGAGCTTGACTATGTCAAAGTAAGTCACTTTTTCTGTATTACAAACGCCGCACTTTGCATGAGCCTCTATTTCACTGCTTCCCTTTCCCCTGATGTCTGAGGCGGAGATAGGGGTGCATGCACCAGTTCGACTCGCAGCCTCAGTTTCTACTTCTGTAAAATGCCGTGAAGCAGTCCCAAACTTGGCGGTGCCTCAGAATCCCCTGTGGGGAAGCGTAAACACAATGCAATTCCTCGTCCTACTCCGACATTCTGACTGAGTAGTACCAGGATGGGGTTTCTTCCCCAAACTCTCCCAAGTGGCCCTGATCCGCGGTCCGGTTCTGGTGACCAGGGTTGGTCGACCATCTGGGGCTTTCCCGCCCGCCGTCGCTGCGGCAAGACCCCGCGGAGGGCCCGCCTCGCCCCGCCCCTTGCCCGCTTCGCCCCGCCCCTTGCCCGCCTCGCCCCGCCCCTTGCCCGCCGCCTCCCAGCCTCGTCTCCTCTGCCCTCCTTCCGGCGCTCCACTTGGTCTCGCCCAGCTCCGCCTTTCCCAGTCCCTTCCCCGCATCGCAAGATGGCAGCGGAGCCGCCGGGCCCGGAGCCGTGGAATCGCGTGCGGATCCCCAAGGCGGGGAGCGGCAGCACCGTGACGGTGCAGGCGCCCGGCGCCGCCCTGGGTGAGTGAGGCGCCGGCGAGAGGCAGACGTTTCCGGGGTCGGGGGCGGGGAGGTGTCCGGCCGGGGCCGCGCACGTGCGCGGCGCGGCGGGACTTCCTGAGCCCGCGGGACGCCGGGAAGAGGCCCCGAGCGGCACGCCGCCGGGCTCCGGGTTTTGCCGGGGACAGTGTAGGGACTCTGGGACCGCAGTCCTTCGCTGAACCCCAGGGGCAGAGAGGCGGGTGCGGCTGGTGCTGCCTGGGGCCTTGTGCTCCCTGCGGCCTGTTTCCCACCTACGGCTCCGAGGAGCGGAGGGCAGTCACTTGAGCACTCTGGACTTAACCGCAGTCTGTCTGGGCCTCTGGTTCCTTACCTGTAAAGTGGGTTTAGTCCTCCCTACCCGTCGCCGGGTGTTGGAGGATCTAACGATGTCGTTTCGGGGAAAGCGCTCTTAAAGCGTTTCCCCACTGTATGATGGTATTACCGTTATTAGGCAGTAGGGCGTGGTAGTTCGCAGCTTGGCTCGGGAGCCGGATCGCCTGGGTTTGAATCCTGGTCTTTGCAGGAGCTGGGCGGGAGGGGGTGTCGTTATTTAACCGGTCTGTGCCTCGGCTCATTTTCAAATGGGTATAAAATAGTATCTGCCTCAGGGCTGTTTCGAGGAATGAAAGAGTTAACGTTATAGGTAAAGCATTTGGAACAGTGCCTGATACAGTAAATAAACACTCACATGATGGTTATTAGTATTAAATACTTATGATCTATCCAGTTATCACATTCTCCTCCTCATCCGTCCATCCTACGAAGCTGACAGGTTAATCTTCCCTCTTCTTCCTTCAGAAGTTCCTTACCAGGATTCCCATTAGGCGTGGAAATTCACCAAGCTCCCCCCCCCCCCCCCCCCCCCCCCATCCTAAGACAACCCATCCTGGCCTGAGATAGTTGGGACAGTAAGAAAGTTCTCCACGTTGTGTAGAGATCTGCCTTTGTGTTACTTTCAATTCGGATGCTAGTGCTACCGTTAGTGCCAGGGAGAACACGTTAACCCCGTCTTCTACTTCACACCTTTCAGACGACGAACCAGGCAGCTTTTATCTCATTCTGCTGGGCACCCCGTGTTCAGTCAGGCATTTATCAAATAATATAATTTCCAGCTACCAAGGTGGTTTCTCTCTTCTGAGTATATCCTTATCTTCAATTGGTACCCAAATACAGTAACCTTTGACTTTAAGAGTATGAATTAATCCATTCTGCCTTGCTTATGTGTATAGCAAAACGGGAGTTTTAAACAAGTATGCAGTGCCCCACCCTCAAGGTACTTCAGGTGTAAGTGTACACCAAATGGCTTTATAAGAAAGATTATTAAAATCGTGATAAAATGTGGTGTAAAGATACACATTTGAGTTTAACAGATGTTTTCTTAATGATTTCCTGGACTTCCAACTTCTCACATACTTAGAATCATTAATTATGTTCTTACAGTTGAGGCTGATGATGTTCACTTGTTCTTGATTTCTTTAAAACAAATTAGGAAAGATGCTTTTCAGTGTTTTTTATATAATATACTTAATGGAGAAATACATATTATCTTATTAAACATCTCCGCTTTAGACCTTTGCATTGCAGCTGTAATTAAAGAATGCTGTCTTGTCACACTGTCACTGAAGAGTCAAACCTTAGATGCAGAAACAGACGTGTTATGTGCTGTCCTCTACAGCAATCACAACAGAATGGGCCGCCACAAGCCCCACCTGGCCCTCAAACAGGTAAGGAGGAAGCCCTGTGTTTAAGACTCACATGTTTACCTGATGAAGATGGAAATCACACTGCCACTTAATATTTTTTTATTATAGAAATCTCAGTAAATTACTTGTGATTTATAGGTCTCCAGCCCACAGGTCTACCTGGGCGTTTTTTTTTTCTGAAAGCATTTCAAAAAACAGATCACTATATCTTCGATCACGACAAAGTGTTGGATTAAGAAACAATCTCCTGAGCAAAATCAAAATCCTAAAATCCTAAAAAGAAGAAAGTTGTGGTTTATTTATTTTGGGGTATACAATCTAATTTGTAATATATTAGAGTAAATGGGTAAATAACAAGTTGTGGTATAAAGTGGTTTCATTTAATTTTTGGATTTTAAGACAAAATTGGGCTCTGCAGTGCAGGGGCTACACCACAGAGAAGAACCTTCTAAGCTGCGTTCCTTTTATGCTCATTCATTCATTCATTTTGTTAATTATGCAAGTACTTTTGAAACTTCCCATGTGCTAGGCACTGTGCCTGGTGCTGGGTATACAGGGGTGAAAAATCTCTGACCTTACAGATTCATGCTCTCTGGTTAATTTCCCACTCCCATTACTTAAGGCAAAAAGGATGAAGATTTCTTCATCAAAGCAAGATCTGGGATCGTGGTCTTTCCCTAAGTTTTCTTGTCTGGGGCAGCTTTTATCTCCTTGTGAGTCTTTTGCTCCAAAACCAAACCTGTTATCTCAGATTGAACGTATTTCTCCTCCTGGCTTCTAAGTTGTGAATAATTATCCAGTCAGAAAAATTTGGTGTTCCGTTTTCTCTGCCTGTTCCTTTTATGTAGCTCTCCCATCCAGTCAGTTATCACTCATAAGATTCTCTGCATCTAGTCCCTCCTTTTAGTTCTGGCTGCCATCTTTTTTCAGACCTTGCCAACTTTTAGTTGTCTTGCTGTCCTGACTTATCTCTCCTCCTCCAGTCTTTCCTGCACTTTGGTATATTCATGTGTACCAAAGCCAGGTGAATCATCCTAAAACACAGCTTTGATTTTTAATGGTTCTCCACTGTCTCCTGAACAAAGACCAAACCTCTTAGCTTGGCTCACAAGATCCTCCGTGATCTGGCCTCTTCAGTTTTCCTTAGCTCAGGCTTCTTTCTGGTCTTCCCATATTTCGTATTCCAGGCAGCCTGCACTCTTCACGAGTTCCCTGCTCACCACCTTCGTTCCGTCCCCTGAGCCTTTGCTCACCTGGTCCTGTGTGTTTAGAAAGCCCGGTCCCTCCGTCTCTACCTGTAAAGGCCTTCACATCCTCAAAGTCCCACTTCCATCCTTCCTCTCAGTCATAAACAACCTCCCAAGGGTAACATGAGTGTAGAGAATGGCAATCTCATTTTAAGTACCTTTTTCTGATTATTAGTGAAGTTGAACTCCTTGCTTTTTATGATTCTTGGCTATTGGGGCCTCCCCTTTGTGCTTCTCTGTGACATTTAGCACAGTGTACACTGTGGCACAGTCATCTGTGGACGTGTTTTAGGTTCCCCACAACCTTACAGTCAGAAACATTTCTCATGCTGCTGCTGCTACTCTGTTACCATTACTAGGACTTACCATTCTATCTGCTTCACCGACAGAGAGCTTTCATCTACTTTAAGATTTATTTTTCCTACCTTCCAAGGCTAGGTACTGGAATTTGCCTCCCTGTAACATCTCTGCAAGGAACAGAGAAAATAGTCTTGATTCCTCCTCTGTGTGACATCCTTTGAATATATGAAGATTGTTCTTATGTTCCTCCATGTTCTCTATTCCTGTTAAATTCTCAAGTCTTTTTTTCCCCTCTTGTTTTTTTTTGAACCATAGGTCGCTTACTATGTTGCCAGGTGCTTTCCTATCTTGGTTTGTAAGTACTTCTCTCAAAGGATGGTGTTCAGAACTAAAAATTGGAAAAGATAGCAGCTGACCTCAGAGGATTTAAGGATTGTGTTGTCTCCATTGCTCTGAAAACGGTGCTGTTAGGATTGATTAACTTTGATTTAATTTTTAGTAGCATATATGTAGCTCTAGCAAGATACTATCTTCACCAGTATCAGTGCCCATCCAGACCTTCACACCCTGTGAAGTCTGGAGGCAGTCCCATGCATGCCCTTTGCATGGCATTTCCTGAGGACTACAGAATTCTTACCACATTTTGTATAATGGATGGCCCTTACCTTTGTTTTTTTTTTTGATAAAAACTATTGAGTGCTTAGTCAACACTCTGCTAAGTAGTAAGTTACAGTGGTGGACAAAATAGACCAAATATCTTGTCCACATGGAGCTCACATTATAGTTGGGAGGAGAAAGGCAATCAAATCAATTGGTCAGTGAATCGAATGTCAGATGGTGATAAATGCTATGGAGGAAAATAAAGCAGGGAAGAGGAAGTGCGGAGGGGGATGCAATTTTAAATAGGGCGTATCTATTTTTGTTTTAGTATTTAACTAATTATGTTATATGTCTTCTTTTTTTACTACTAGATTTTAGCAGCTAGAGATGGGGAAGTGTTTTATATACCATTTTATTTCCCAGCATGCCTTGCATGTAGTAGGTGTTCAATATCCATTTGTGAAGTGAATAAATCCATCACTTTCCTCATCTCTGTGGCATTTATAGACTGTTGAAATTTAGTAGTTAATAATTTACTGTCTTGTTTTAATTTCACTATTAGAAATCACGTTGCTTCAGAAAAATTATAATCTTGAGAATAACCTTATACTTGACTTTGTCCCCCTTATACTATCAAGTACCTCCTGGCATATAGTAAATTCTTAGTCATAACTTGATTTGAGAAATTTGTTTGGCTGGATAAATTTCAAATTTTTAACCAGAAGTACTTTGGGCTATGGATTTCTTTACCGTTAAAAAAAGGTATTCTGTGGTATTCAGTGTATTTCTATACTTTGAAATTTTGGATTTGTTTTCCTGTCACATTAGTGGCCTTGTCTGTATTATATACATATGGATTTGAGCTGCTCTTCTCCTTTCAGGTTGAACAATGCTTAAAACGTTTGAAGAGCATGAATTTGGAAGATTCAATTCAAGATATGTCTGAGTTGCTTTCTCCCAGGTAAGTGGTCCAGTTGCTTTGTGATGGCCTTTGTGGGGGGCTGGGGCCTTTGTGTGTTGCCCTGATCTTCCTATGGACTTTTCTCTGCTTGGTGTTGGGATATAACCAGTTATATCTCAGCTGTAGGAATTGTGTTTTAATAAAGGGCACCTGGTATTTGGGGTAGTCTCCCTCTGTTGGCCTGTGGGAGGGACTGGCGTGACACTGAAATCGGGTCATGATAGATTCTATTGAAGCATCAGTGTCGATCAACTTCAGTGAGCCATTGTTCAGCATAACTACCACAAATTGAGCTTAAAACAAGTCTGTGCTTGAAAACTGATATACAAGTGTTTTATATTCCAGAATGAAAGTAATGTACTACTCTTTTTTTGTCAAGTGAAAATCAGCCTGTAACTACCAAGGCATGTGTCATCCCCAGCCAACCAGTGGTGGAATTGGTGTTGATGAAGATTTTGGGAGCCTGCAAGTTGTTACTTCGCTTGTTGGACTGCTGCTGCAAGACATTTCTGTATCCTTGAATCAACTGAAATACCTTCTTCTGAATTGGAATTGTTTGGGTATATTTAATAGTATTTCTGTTTGAAAGCTAGGGGGTCTGTAGGAGTTATAACCCATGGGGATTTCTTAAAATTTTGCTTCTTGGCCTCCTTTTCCCAGGAATTTCCTGATAGAACCATTGCCAGAGACTGCCTGTCTCTGTCCAGCATGTATTATCCTAAGGGCATTGACAGTTAGAAATTCTTCTTTTTTTGGAGGGGGTGAGGAAGATTGTCACTGAGCTAACATCTGTGTCAGTCTTCCTCTATTTTGTATGTGGGACACCTCCACAGCATGGCTTGATGAGCAGTGTGTAGGTCTGCAACCAGGATCTGAACCCGCAAACGCTGGCCACTAAAGCAGAGCATGTGAACTTAACTACCGTGTCACCAGGCCAGCCCTAAACATTTGCTGCCAATCCTACTCTTTTTGGTGGAGGACTGGCCCTGAGCTAACATCTGTGCCCATCTTCCTCTACTTTATATGTGGGTCGCCTACTTGGCATGGCTTGCCAAGTGGTGCCATGTCTGCATCCAGGATCCGAACCGGCGAACCCTGGGCCGCCAAAGTGGAACGTGTGAACTTAACTGCTGCGCCACTGGGCTGGCCCTGATAGTTAGAAATTCTTAATCGTAGAAACTAAATTTAATAATGAGAGCTCTAGCAGAGTGTATATTACTTTATTTTTAAGTTTCCATGACTTACATAGTACATGTTTTAAGGCTTTAATTCCTTCAAGAAAACTCTTTCTACTTCCAGTCTGCTTCTTTCATAGATGTTCACTTAAAAATCCAAATCACTTTGGTTTCATTTTCCAACTTTAACTTGATTCTCCAGCTTGACTGTGAAACACCTAGGTTTGCAAGAATTCATTATTTTAAACCTTGTGATGGTTGGGATAGTGAGCAGGTTATGGTATGTATGTTCATACCTTTGAAATCTTTTCATTTCTTTTTCATCTCTAACTCAGCCTAGGTTTCTCGTTAGTAGTTTTCATATTTGCTTTCCCATGGGATTCTGAAGGTGTGGGAGTTCCATTTCTTCATTTGATCAGAGTTTATTTGGGGTGGATTGGAGTTATGTCAAAGACTAGGCTTTGAATCTGAAGTCATCAGATCATCTCCACACTAAACAATTAAGCAAGTTAATTCCTAGAATTAGCAACTGAAATAATAATAAAAAAGTGATTGCTGTAATGATACAGCAACTGGCCCATTTAAAATGAGTGTTCCTGGGCAGGCTGTATCATTTGATTCTTTCTGCTATTAGGTTTCCACTTTTTACCGGCAATAACCTTCTGTATGGGCTCTAGATTCTTTTCTTCCACCTGAAACACCACTGCCTTTTGAGGGATAGTTGATGTAAAGAACACTGGGAATAGTTGCAAACCAAAGAGCTTCTCTGGCATCTCTCAACTTATATTATGAAATTTATTTGATGCATAATTGGACTCAGAATCAGCCTGTATTTATAAGGAGACCTATTTTGGGCCATTTTAAACAATTGGGATGATTAGCTCTAATTTGAATGAAAACTAAAAGCAAAAAGTACAAAATTCTCTCTGGATATTAAAAACCTTGCTTTGCTATCTTAACCTAGATAGCTCAAGTTCTGTTTCCAATCTTGTTTTTTATTTTGCTTATTCTTAGAGGTAACAATGTTAGAATTACTAGTCATATTATTTTAAGATGTCAAACCTTCCTTATTCTTTTTTATAATGAAAATAGCTTTAATTTTTGCTGATTATGACAATAATACAATGCTTATTTTAAGAAATTTAAAAAAATAGGAAAAAATGTGAAGAACCTGACATTTGCCTAAAAATCTCACCACCTAGATAAAATCACACTTAAGATTTTGATGCACACCCTTTGAGATATCAATTCATGGAGTACTTTATTTGGTTTTATGTAATATGTTTTACTTGGATTTTTCTTTTTGGGTGGACTAACCTGGCTATTTGCAAATATGCACTATAGCATTTTTATCTATAGTGGCAGATTTGATGGGCATTTATTTTCAGCTTTGACTCTGTTGTGGTTTTATGTAATCTGCAAATTGTAATTACTGGCTAATTCACGAGCTCCTGTTTCTTTCTCTAGGGTTCTGTATAAAGGCGTTTTAAAAAGGCTGGTTTCTTTATATGAGCCGTTGTTTGCATTGCTTCAGGAGGTCTCTAGGATTCAACCATTGCCTTACTTCAAAGATTTCACCTTTCCTTCTGATATTGCTGAATTTTTAGGACAGCCCTATTTTGAAGTCTTTAAGAAAGAAATGCCTACAGCTTTTGCAGCTAAAGGAGTAACTAAATTGCTAAATAAACTGTTTTTAACAAAAGAGCAATCACCGAGGTCCAGTGAAGAAACTTTACTTAGAATTTCCAAAAAGGCTCAACAAATGAAGATCAATATACAGAACAGTGTGGATCTTGGGCAGCCAGTAAAGAATAAGAAAATCTTCAAAGGTAATTTGCTTTGATATAGCGCATACTCTAATTTAAAAAAAAGCAAAGAACTTTTGAAATTATAATCATGCATTGTGCAGGAGAAATTTGGTCTCTCTCTTCTTAATTTTAACTCACATTGATTATCTTTAGAGAGGTATGGTAATACCAGCATTTTCTAAGCTTGAGCATTTTAAGTTGTTTGTTTCTGCTGTTACTTCCTAGTTCTTTGCTTGCTTAGTTCCCTTTATTTCTTTTGTAGTAATTTGGCAAGAAATGTTGTCATGCACTTAATTTTTTGATTTGAAAATACTATGCTTAAGTTTTTGTATCTGTGATTTTTCCCTCTCCACAGAAAAGTCATCAGAATTTGATGTGAGGGCCTTCTGCAAACAGCTGAAACATAGGGCTGTTCAGGTTTGTCTGGCTCATTTTAATACAGCTTATGATTTCTGATCTGTAGACTAGATGCCACTAACCAAGGCAAGAGATTCAATCTTACTTCTGTTTCATCCCCAGCTGTAAGCTTAGCGCCATCTTAGTTCTCAGTCTATGCCTCTGAATGCATAGAGGCCTTCCCAAGGGGTCTGAGTGGATCCAGTTTATCAGTTAATAGAAGGCCTTCAGAAACATATTACCAAGAGTTTTGCTAGAATTTTAAAGTCACCCTAGGATCCATCGTAAGTGTGGATTGTACTGCAGCTTCAGAGTATGGGCTTTGCAGTCACACACAAATGGTTTGAGTCCTGGCTTTGGTTTATACCAGTGTCACCTTATGTAAGTCTCTTGACCTGTCCATACCTCTGTTTTCTAATAATAGTATGTACCTCATAGGCTTGTGCCAGTTTTAATGCATGTAAAGTGTTCAGCATAGAGTCTGAAGTACGGTAAGCACTTAATCAGTGTTCGATGTTTTTAGCCACTTTCATCGTTACCATCCTCATCCTTTGTCATGAAGCTTCTACTTCTTTCTTCTGTCAGGGTTCAACTTTAACCTGATTCCTCTTCTTAGTCAGTGTCTGTAAATTCTCTTTGTTCTGGACCTAACAACAGATAAGTACATCAGAGTCACCCTCTTGCATCCGGTAACTGCTTGACTTCTGTTACCCTGTCTTCTCAAAATTGTTTTCTTCTGGTTTCCTTCATGGGTTATTTCTTCCATTCTCTTAAGAATTCTTAATAATTTCTAATAAGTCAGTGTACTTTTTTGAACATTTACAAGTTTCCAGCCTGCATTTATATTCCATCCAATTCATGAGTTCCAGAGAGAGGAATATTAGTAACAGTAATAATAATAATAGCTCATACTTATATTACATTTACTCTTTGCTAGGTGTATGCGAAACTCTTTATATGTGTTAATTCATATAATCTTCGCAAAAGCCTTGTGATATAGTTGCTATTATTACTGTTTCCAAATTTCAGATGAGAAAGTTGAGGCATGGAAAGGACAAGAAACTTGCTCAGGCCACACAGCAACCACGAGGCAGAGCTGGTATTTGCACGCAGGCAGTCTGGTTTCCTAGTCTTTGTTCTTTACCATGACACCAGTCCCCAAATAGTTTTGTCAACTCTGTGTCAAGAACTATGACTCGCTGTGACCCTTGAAACTTCTGCAGTCCGTCCACCTGTTCCTAGGTGAGCTGGTGGCCAGCTTCCCTCTTATTCGTGACTAATCACTACCACGTTTTTAGCAATTAGCACTAATATGCTCAGCTTACTTTTAGGTCACCCTTATCAATCACCAACACAAAGTATTGATGGGTCTCTACTTTTATACTTCCTACTTTGTTACATTCTTCTTGAGGGTGAGGAATTTGGAAGAAGGTGAGCTTTCAATGAAGGATGGAAGCAGACTTAGTAGGTGGCATATTTTCATAAACAGTAAGAGTTGGTAAAATTAAAACTTCACTTGATATAGAAAGATGGGGTTGAAGAGACAAAGGTGCCACATCAAAGGATGCTTGAATTGGAATTGGAAATGCTGCTCGGTTAAGCACTTTTAACATATGCTGAGCAATCATCCTTGCTTTCACACGTCTTAGTAACATTTATGATCCATCAGTGAGGAGGGTGACAGGGTCATAGAAATAAGTGAAAAACAAGATGCGGTAGCCCAGTGGCGTAGAGGAACAGGGCTCTTCACTGACTTTTTTCCCACCAGATAGGGAATATTGGCTTTGCCCAGTATTTAATCATGTGGAGTTTTATTCTTTTGTGTAGGTTAAATAGATATGTGGTAGAATATTTATATTAAGTTTCCTCTGAATGCAGCTACAGATAAGATCTGTTGTACCATAGAGGGAAAAGAAATTTTGTTAGAAGCAGTGGATAAAAAATTAAGCTTTTTAAGATAAAAGGAAAGTGCAGTGAGCTTTCAAAAAAGTTTTCCTTCTTTTAAAAAGATGGATTTCACATTCTGATAGACTATGAGTCAGCTTTTCTCTGTTGTCTTGTATTTACAAGTCAGTAACAAATCTAATACATTTTTCTTACCTTTCCATATTTCAGGAAACCAGCTCTGAGTTCAGATGTTCTAAATCCAAACTGAAGGCAAGCAAACATTCTTCTCAGAAAGGGACAGGAACTCCTTGTGCCAAAAGCTTTGTGCAAAGATTCCGAGAAGCTGAGACTTTTACACAACTTTCTAAAGAAATCCAAAAGGCAATTCTGTGGAGCAGGAGCAGAAAACTCAAGGCTCAGGCCACCTTTCTGGGTAACAAACTTCTTAAAAGTAACCGGCTTAAACACGTGGAAGCTCAAGGCTATAGGTGGGTATATTACAAAAATTATATGCCTTTACTTTGTCTGTTGTCATTTAGGGCAAAAGTGTATATATTCGAGTCAGCTTTCTCTAAAATGGGGTGTCCAGTAGCCCGAGGGGGCTAAAAGTGGGATCTAGTCACACTGCAGTTTTGTTTGCTGCTTTTGTTGGGCAAAGCTGTAGCATTGGGAAGAACAACTTGGTTAATTGGGTTTATTCCTTTGTCCTCTTCACCATTCCATCTGTCGGTTCAGAGAGTATCAGGAGTGCTGTGGCCACGCCTGGGTACAGGTGCGAGTAGGACAGACTCAATCCTCACAGGGCTTGAGCTCTAGCCGGAGGGGTGGCCCAGCTGCCCAGAGCCTCAGCGCAGCGGGCGAGGGTGCGAGAGCAGCAGCAGAGGTGCCTGCCTCCCACAGGCCCAGCCAGACTCGGGGTCAGAGCCCGGGGGGCATTCGGTCATGGGAGCTAGACTGTGCATGTGTTGATCTCTTCCTCTCTCGCATTCACAGAACTGTGTAAAGATGGCCATCTTTGATTGTGAGCCAGTGCACGAAGTTAGACACTTTAGGGTTTTATATTTTTATTGAAAAAATAATGGATGCCCATGGTAACAATTTCAGACACAAATGGCTATAAAGATGCCTTATTACCCCTTCACAGAGGCAATCATTCTGACCAGCTTATGTATCCTCCAAGAAATATTCTGTGCATCCGCCATCATTTCTTATCTATAGTTACAGACGTATATCGATTCAGGGTTTTCTAAATGGTTCCCATGGATGAATCACTTTGTCTAAAATTTGTTGAATTTTCTTTTAAAATTTATGGAAAAGATATTCCCATTGTAGTAAAAAATTTGATATATAGTGAGAGTTTTGTAAAAAGTTTTGATTAAAAGTGGTGGGAGAAGTTAAGTATTCCTAAGGAATGAATTGCTGGAACGGTTTTTACATTGGGGTCCCCTAAAGGCCTCTAGCCATCTAAAAGGGATCTCTTTTAGAGTGGAAACTCAGCCTGAGCTGTTCTGTTCAAGACTGGGTTTAAAGTCAGGGGTAGATGAGGTAGAGGTGGTAAGAATTAAGAATTAATGAGAAGGCTAACAAACTGCTGTTTATTTGGTTAAACCGTTATTCTGTACGCCACAAAAATATAGTGTTCTTTCATAGTGCCCTGTTTTGAGGTTTCAGTTGTTATATTTTAGTACATTTTAAATTTACTTATGTTCATAACTCTGTCAGGTAGGCAGTGTCATTCCCATTTTATAGATGAGGAAATGAAGATTTTGCTTAGGGTGTTAGAGCTGGAGATCTAGAATTCAGTTCAGATCTTCGGATTCTTCTGTTTTCATTCTTTCCATTTCCATTTCAATGGGGAGGTACACTTACCCTCTCCCCACTTAAAAGTCACTGCTTATAGGGGCCAGCCTGGTGGAGTGAGTAGTTAAGTTCACCCACACTGCTTCAGTGGCCCAGGGTTCATGGGTTCAGATCCTGGGTACGAACCTATGCAACACTCATCAAGCTATGCCGTGGCGGCATCGCACATACAAAATGGAGGAAGACTGCCACAGATGTTAGCTCAGCAACAGTCTTCCTCGAGCAAAAAGGAAGACTGGCAACATGTGTTAGCTCAAGGCCAATCTTCCTCACCAAAAATAAATAAATAAATAAAGTCACAGCTTATAGTAAGACAAGAAAAATGTTTAGAAACAGCTCATGAATTACTACATTATAATGGGCTTCCCAAAGTTCTCTATTTGTTTAAAAAGGAAGAGGGGAGAGAGGTGGGGTAGGAAGTATAGACCCATGCTAATCTTTTGAAATCTGACAATCACCAACAGTGAGGTAGTTATCAAGGTTCTGCTGTACCTTGTGGCAGTGTCCCCTATTCAGAAGCAAAACTCCTAAAATAATCAGCTTTGAATTCTGAATTCCCAAACTTGAAGATGATAAATGAATCACAATTAGGGTAGCTCAAGGCTGTCGGTTTGTCTATGCCAGAAGCCCCGTGTTCTTATTCTTATATACGCTCCCTCTTCACTTTTATTCCTTTTTCCTTCTACAACATGAAGTTGTTCATCCAGAAATGAATTAACACATCCTGGCAGATTTTTCTATCTGTGATACATCTTTTCTCCTGCTCCATTCCTACTACCTTCTGAACAGATGAGCAGTTATCAGGGAGAAGCTCCAGCACTGGAGAGAGGCGGTGTCTCAGCGTTCAGCCCCTTACGAGGCAGCTGCAGGAGCTACTTTACTTTGGGAACATAACGGGGACACATTTGCCTACAACCTGAATCAGAGGGAAGTTGTGCTCTGAACATACAGATATGGGCTGAAGCTCCTATTTCTTTATTTTTCATCATGATTTTGGGGTTGTATACAGGCGTAGGACTTGTAGATAAATTGTGTACTTTTCTGTTGGAAGGGTAAAAAGGAGACAAATTAAAAGTTTTTGAGAACGTTTTTCTGCATCTTAACAGTCTCAGATTTTTCCTTTCTCTCTGTCCTTTAAAGTTTGCCAAAGAAATTAGAGTGCATAAAAACATCCATTTGCAACTGCCTTCTTCGTGGCTCAGGTATCAAAACTTCAAAGCATCATCTGAGACAAAGAAGATCACAGAATAAATTTTTACTGAGACAGAGGAAACTGCAGAGAAAGTTGCAGTCGACTCTTTTAAAGGAAATTCAGCCGTCCCCTCCAGAGACAAGGAGTGCTACGGATACCAGTAAACGGGGACCCTCTCACTGCACAGTTCATAGAACTGACTTCTACCCTAACAGTAAGCACCTCCTCAGCGGCAGAGTTTCACGTCCTGTCCTACCGACTAAGGAGAAACAAATTCATGGAAATCTTACAGGAAGCGATGAAAATGAAGCTGATTCACGGACAGTGATACAAATCAATAAACATAATACATCAGGAACCATGAAGAAGACAGATGACATTGATGATATTTTTGCTTTAATGGGAGTTTAGATGCTCATATGTGAGACTTTTAAGTGATTAACAGACTGGTCCGGTGTCCTGCTGTAAGTGGAACCGCTGAGATCTGGAAAGGTCTGGAAGTACCACTTGGACTCAGAGAGGAGCAGCTTTAGTGCAACTCTGTACAGCAGAAAATTCGTTTCCGTTCAATAAACATTTATAGTAGCTTTGTGTCATTTAATCAACAAGTATTTGACTCTAGAATAGTCAGATTTTGACTCTATGTGCCAGGTGAAGCCCTGCTAAACATCCTGATTTAAGTGAGCTCTTACCTCTAGTCACTTTTCATTTATATTCCTCCTGGTTTCCTACCAAGTTGTAGTAGCTACTTAGTGCCTTAAAATATGGACAATATCAAGGAGATCTCCTTCATGACAAGTCTGGAAACAGCCATCAGCTTCTAAGATTCTAAGATTTAAGGTCCAGTCTTGCTTCTTTTATTCACATATGACTCCCCCGAGCTGGTAAGTCTCCCTGGGCTTAGGTTCCTTCATCTGAAGTGGCAGTATTGTTCAAGAATCATAAGCTTTTACAGCTGAGAGAGACTTTGGAGATTATCCCTCACTGGAAAAACCAGAGTGGTTCCGTGAGTTGTCCAAGGGGGTAATATATAAAGCCTGGACTGACTATAAGCCTAGCGTTTTTTTCTACTTCATTAATGTTCCCTTGGAGTAAGTTTTTTCATCTCCTCCTCCCATCTCCTGCCCCTTACGATTCTGGGAAAAACAGTAAAAAGCTTCACATGTGTCCACAAAATGATAATTTATAAGGAATGTAGTATTCTGTATCAGTTAAATTTCCCCAAACAACTTAAATTCAAATGTTTTAAGTTTTTAATAGTGAAATCTAAACTATACAAAACCACGACTAAACTAGTAAATTAGAAACTATTGTTAGTATCATCATAGTGAATACTAGTTTCATCACTTCTGCTGGCACTAGAACACAGGTCAGGCCATCTGTAAGAGCAGTGTGGTGGGACCTCCCATGCGTCTCTTCAGACCCTCCTAGCCTTCTATCTTCAGCTCCTGTGTGGGAACCAGTGTCAAGGAGGACTGGACAACTGCACCCTGCCTCCCGCTCTGGGGCCCTCACTTCCTGCCCCCTGGCTCCTGACAGGCTGCAGGAACCGCTTGGCACTTGGGCATGTGCAACTTGGAGGAGCTGTGGGGCTGCCCTCTCCCCTCTTCAGACGGTTCAGAGGCATATTTCATCAGGCTCCTCAGAATGTCCCTCAAGATCACACACTAGTGCCTTTGTGGCACTCAATGCATCAATGCATCCTTGACTGGCTTCCCTCCCTTCTGTTCCATTTCCCCATCACTCTTTCTTCCCTGGGATCACTTCCCAGATAAACTGTGTGCAAGCTTTTGTCTTGGGCTCTGCTTTTAGGAGAACCAAAGCTAAGACAAGCAGTAAAGCAACACTGGCAGGCAGAAAGATAACTTCTAAGATAATTCTATTGTCACCCAATGCCTATATAAAAAGTTTTTTAGTTTAAAACACTGCTGATTAGAAAAGACCAGCGCTATCAACTATAAAACAACTGAAAATATATTCAGAATTGAATTTTCTGAAAAAGACACAAAACTGTTTTACAGCGTTAATTTTTTATCCAGTCCTATCGCTGTGATCTTTGAATACTCAGCCTTACTTTGAAAAGCTAAACCACTTACATGAACAGGTCAGTAGCATCTTCATAGAAATCTTTTCTATTAACTTTAGTTCAAAGTCAGGCTTTATCTTTCCATTCTGAATCTTAACGTGCCAATTCTAAACTGTCTCATCAACTTTCTTGCCCTGTACAAATCAGTTTTCTCACTTAAAAACTAGTTTTTGTTTTTTATTTTTCACTAGAGAAAATGTTACCTCCCCCATGACAGGATGCTTTCTGTGATAAATCTACCTGTGAATTTTGCTGTATCCTTGGGTTGGTTTTGCTTTACAAACATGCAGATGTCCTTGTCACATATCATACCATTTTAATCTGTACAGCTTGTGAGGTTAGAATATAAATGAAACTCAGAGAAATCAAGTAACTTCGGCAAGGTCCCACATATAATAAATATTAGAACTGGAACTTGAATTCTGGTCTTCTGAGTCTGAATCCTGTGTTCGCCTGAAAGTGACTGATCCTGGCCTGAAATGACTGGTGTTTCCATTCCATGGACTGACTGAAATGTTATCAATAATAATTTTTGTTTTTTATGTGAGGAAGATTGTCCCTGAGCTAACATCTGTTGCCAACCTTCCTCTTTTTGCTTGAGGAAGATTGTCCCTGAGCTGACATCTGTGCCGATCTTCCTCTATTCTGTATGTGGGACGCCTCCACAGTGTTGCTTGATGAGCGCTGTGTCAGTCTGTGTCCAGGATCTGGAACCCATGAAGCCTGAGCTGCCGAAGCAGAGCATACGAACTTAACCACTATGCCACGGGGCTGGCCTCAAGATTAATTTTTTTTTTCAAATAAGGACTCAGAAAAAAGATAAATTATAGGTATACATAAGAGCATTTATGTTCAACCTGCTTATCTGCTGAACAGAAAAGTAGCCCCTTGTTTACCTAGTCCATTTTAATATTTAAAAAGATATAGAAATTACATAATAGACATTTTCGTTAAAAGACAAAAGCCCAGTAAGTAACATGGCAAACCGTTCTCTACACAGTAGTAAACAGGTTTTCATGTTATAGACTTCTACATATTCTTGTTTGTCATTTGTTAAAACAGGAAAAACTATTAGCATCTGTTCTAAGGAACAGCATAATTCAATCATTTATAAACCTTTTGTCCCTCAGGCATAAATACATTCTTGCTTCTGGAAGATGCAAGTTTTAAAGCTCACGTGATCCTTCTGCAAGTTATAGACACAAAACATTTAAAACAATGTTGAAACTCTCAGTGTTTAACTCCCATTGGCATAAAGAATTTTGTCTTCAGCTGAACTGGAAGCAATGAGTCTTAAGATTTCCTGTTATATCTGCTATAAAGCATCTCAAGAGATGGATTCCAGAATAGGTCACAGCACTGTGGAAAGAAAAGAAAAATCATTTTCTTCCTTCCTTCAGAGGTAGTAACACATCTGAATTCATCTAACTTAAAAAACTGTATACAAACTCTGTGAGTTCCATGTAGGAAACAGAACATCTTCATCTGTGCCACCTTTCCTCTCCTCCCCCAGCCTCTGTGGTATTCCAAATCTGATGACCCACATGATCTCACCTACTTCCTTCAGGGCTCTGAAAATTTCACCACATCTACTATTTTGCTTTTTGTTTCCCAGGCTAAAAGTTCATTTTTAAATTCAGGTATAAATAAAATGTATTAGTTTCAGGTGTACAACATAACCATTCAATATTTGTATATATTGTGAAATGATCACCACAATAAGTCTAGTTAACATCCATCATCATAAATAGTTACAAATTTTTTTTTCTTGTGGTGAGGACGTTTAAGATCTCCTCTCTTAGAAACTTTCAGATATGCAATATAGTATTAACTATAGTCACCATGCTGTATATTACATCGCCAGGACTTATTTTGTAAAATAACTGCAAGTTTGTACCTATCGACCACCTTCCCCATTTCTCCCACCCCCCACCAATCTCTTCTCTATATCTATGAGCTTGTTATTATTGTTTTTTTTTAAAATTCCATATATAAGTAAGATCATACAGTATTTGTCTTTCTTTGTCTGACTCATTTCACTTAGCATAATGCCCTCAAGGTCCATCCAGGTTGTCACAAATGGCAAGATATCATTCTTTTTTATGGCTGAATAGTACTCCACTGTGTATATCTACCACACCTTCTTTACCCATTCATCCATCGATGGATACTTACGTTGTTTCCACATCTTGACTACTGAAAATAATGCTGTAGTGAACGCAGGGGTGCATATATCTTTTTGAATTAGCTTTTGTTTTTTTCGGATAAATACCCAGGAGTACCACTGCTGGATCATCTGGTAGTTATATTTTGAATTTTTTCAGGAACCTACATACTGTTTTCCATAGTGGCTACACCAGTTTACATTTCCACTAACAATGCACAAGTGTTCCCTTTTCTCCAACATTCTTGCCAACACTTGTTATTTCTTGTCTTTTTATTAATAACCATTCTAACAGGCATGAGATGATATCTCACTGTGGTTTTGATTTTCATTTCCCTATGATTAGTGACGTTGACCATCTTTTCATGTACCTGTTAGCCACCTGTGTATCTTCTTTGGAAAAACGTCTGTTCATATCCTCTGTCCATTTATTTTCTTTTCTGCTTTATCTCCCCAAAGCCCCCCAGTACATAGTTGTATATTTTTTTTAGTTGTGGTCTTTCTAGTTGTGGCATTGTCCATTTCTTAATTGGATTTTTTTTGCTATTGAGTTCTTTATATATATTTTAGATATTAACCCATTATCAGATACATGATTTGCAAATATTTTCTCCTATTAAGTTGGTTGCTTTTTCATTTTGTTGATGATTTCCTTTCCTGTGCAGAAGCTTTTTAGTTTGATGAAGTCCCACTTGTTTATTTTTGCTTTTGTTGCCTTTGCTTTTGGAATGAGATCCAAAAACTCGTCACCAAGACTAATGTCAAGGAGCTTACCACCTATGTTTTCTTCTAGGAGTTTTATGATTTCAAGTTTTACATTCAAGTCTTTAACCCATTTTGAGTTAAATTTTGTGTATGGCGTAAGACAGTAGTCTACTTTTATTCTTTTGCATTTGGCTGTCCAGTTTTCCCAACACTATTTATTGAAAAGACCGTTTTTCCCCCACTGTATATTCTTGATTCCTTTGTCATAAATTAATTGACCATATATGCACAGGTTTATTTCTGGGCTCTCTATTCTGTTCCATTGATCTGTGTGTCTGTTTCTTTGCCAATTCCATACTGTTTTGATTGCTTTAGCTTTCTAATACAGTTTGAAATCAGGGAGCATGATGCCTCCAGCTTTGTTCTTCTCTCTCAAGATTGCTTTGGCTATTCAGGGTCTTTTGTAGTTCCATACAAGTTTTAGGATTATTTGTTCTATTTCTGTGAAAAATGCCACTGGAATATCTTCTATTTTGCTTTGTATTTCTCAGATTAAAAGTGTTGATCTCTTTAGCTTGTTCTTTTTGTGGCAAAGATTCAATCACCTTGATAATTCAGACCTTTTTTCATGATTTATTTTTTAAATTATCATTACCATTATTGTGTCTATTATTTATCTATCTGTCTTACTACATTCATCTGTATCCATTCATCCATTTGTCAGCATGGAAGTGATGACCTCATGGTTTCTCAGGATACATGGATCTTTATGGATACACTGTGACTTTTATGGACACAGCTTTGATGTCTATAAAACAGGTAAAATATTTTCTGTTGTATGCTAATTCCCTTCTTGATAAAGTATAGTATTTTAGACTTTTTGACCAAAGCTGCCTGCTTGAGAACAGCCCATAATGATTCTTGAGATAGAAGTGAAGTTGTACATATAAAGGAGAGATACAAATTGGATAGTCCACACACTAACTATGGCACCTTGAACTCATCTGCAACATTGCTGTCAACTCATGATTTTCTTTGTCCTTGGAGTCAGTTCTCATTTGCTTACAACTTCACTACATAGTAAACCACAGAAGCAAGTATACAATGCCTACTTATATATTTCTTCCATACCATTTATAAAAACAGACTGAAGCCAGTAACAGTCTTTAGGGGCCTTTCACCATTTACACTGCTCTGCTTAGCTGGGGCAGAGTTCAGACATGAAGGTTAGAGGTTCACTTTTGCGTACACACTTAACAGCCAAACCTCACTGGACTACAGGTCTACCAACACTTCCACTTTTCTCTCACCAAGATCATAGAGAAAGAGAAAGAAAGAAAACCTGACTTATTTTATAATAATTATTCTGTGAATAGGCCAGACTTCCTTCTGGAAAGATGGACTTGGACTTGGTCATATAAGCAAAAGCACGGAGTATATATCTACTTTCTGAATTGGGTTTTCAAAGCTATAGAGGATAGCCTGCCAATTTCCTGTACGTGGTCACTGTGGTATAAAGGACGTTGAAGTTCTTGAAAGCCAACAGGCCCCCATCTCAATTCTTACTGTGTGCGTTCGCCACCTATGCAGTGTGCTGGTCACTTATGGTGAGTATGGTGGCAGCAGTGCTTCCAGGGCCATGCAGCAGAGAATGCTGGCATATCTAAAGAAGGGGATGCCTCTAAAAAGTCCCGGGAATCTGATAACCTGGGTTGTTAGCCTGACCTGCTGTTTACTGACTGACCTTTGCAAGGAAGGAAACTAACATTTATTCTGTGGCTAGTGTGTGTCTATTACTCACAATACATTTTATTTAATCCTTCTAACAATCACATTTTTACTAGTGAGAAAACAGATTCAAAGGAAAATGAGTTTGTTCAAAAACGAAATAAGCTGCTTTAAAATCTATAGCCAAGAAGTAGAGGAACCATGCAAAACCACGGCTGTTTGACCCTAAGGCGCATGCTCTTTCTATTTCGGCAAATACCTCTCTGCAACTCACATCGCCTCTCCAATCTGTAACCGTATCTGTGAAATGGGGGTGTGCACTGTGAGGAGCGATTAAGTGTTCTGAATGATCTAATGACATAACCTCCCCCAAGACCATCTGTTTTCATATAGCTCTAGCTGTTCTTAATGTCGAGCCACAATCTATCCTGATTAGGCTAGTGGCACATAGCTTAGAGCAGTGTGGCCTACTGCTCGAGCACGCCCTTGTTTTGAACACTATACTTCTATTAACGTAGTTCAAGAAAGCACTGACAGTTTTCCCCAGCCCCATTATGCAGTTAATTCCAACTCAGCTTACAGGCAACTTAATTTTGTTCTTCAATAAATGTTGCTGTTAAGCCATGATTTGCCCATCTTATGTTTGTGTTACCTTTTCAGCTAAACTATCACTTCCTTCTTCTTAAACAGTTAAAAGAAACAGCTATTTTTTATGATAATGCTCAGGGCTCTAAGAAGAATTAGCATGTCATTTCTGCCCCTGGGAGTTTCCATCGTCTATGTGGGACACACGGAAATGAATGGGACACATGCTTGAATGTAAGCCAAGGGTGGAAAAGCATTTTGTAGGAATGAATGAAGAGGGATTCTGACAGGCTTGTTGATAAATACACACAATTTAAACGTGATCTGGATCCTCTAAGCAGAGGACAGTTTCATTTCACATACATCTGTTATTGGGTGCCTTCCACAAAGAAGTTAAAGTACGAAAACCACAGGGGAGTGGCTCTGCTACGTACAGGGTACTTGTTGTACCCAAGGTACACACTGAAAGTACAAACTCAAGCTTCATCGCTAAACTACATCTGATGTCTCAGAAATTGCCAGCTCAGGAAATAACCACTCCGTCTGCTCCCAATGCTTAATTCTAACTTGTACGAAGCGTTTTTTTTTTTATATATGGTCCTTTTAAAGGAAAACTTTTATCCTTCACAGCCTGAATGCTCTTTCTACTATAAAGACTCATTGTTTTTCTTCAGAATTGAGAAAGGGAAGGTAGTGTCTTTATTGTGGCTGTTCTTTAGCTGATTTTAAAAGGTAAAAAGTTTTCACTTCTGCTGTGGTTTAGGCTGAGGTAGAAAGAGAATGAAGATACCTACAGGGAAGATCCAGCAAGAATCTGCAGAAGGAAGAAAGAATAGAGGGATGAAAAAAATAAAAATGTTGATGGGTTGTACCAGTAAATCATGGCTAAGTGCATGGTCTTCCAAATTCCTCTAATTTTAGGTGGTACCTCAATTTAAGAAAAACTCATTTAATACTAAAGGTTGTTAGTACATTAAGTTACAAAAACAATTCAACTCTTACCTCACAGGAAACAACTGAGGAAAACATCCTTGTGTTTTAGTGTCAACAAATTTCTGGATCTGAAGCACTTGTTTTAAAAGATGTCCCTTGGAAGATTTGTCAATTTTTGTTAATACCATCTGTAAGGAAATAAATATTTAAGCATTAGAAATAAAGTATTTCTTAATATAGAGTTTTACATATTTTAGCTACAAATTTTCAATAACAACTAGGTGACCCATGCAAGTTTCTTAATCTCTCCAGTTGTTTCCCAGCTATAAAAGAAAAGCAATACCCCCAATGGAGTTACTGTGAAGCCTGAGTGAGTTAACGTATGCATTGTATAAAGCATACACTGCGTGTTCCTGTTTACCGCTGCCTGAGGCCCCATCATGGATTCAAGGCCAGTGAAAAGGACCCTGGAGCCATATCTGCAATTGCCATAAGTCAAATGTTTTATATGATCACCATATATATGTGGTCTAAGATATATAAGTGAGTATTATTAGGTTGATCCTTATAAAATTGCCAACTTATAATCAATTTTGACCTACAAAATAGTTCCACCTTATATGTAACAATCTAAAGTAAAAATTAGAAATCAGGCTATTTTTAGGTTGTATCCACTGTAGTTATATTCCAAGTTATATACATTTATATTCCAAGTAACCAGAGAATTTACTAGGCTTTCTAGTAATTACTTATAATAATTTACTTATTCAAAGGCAATTTCATACTAGAGGAAGGTCAAGGTATGGATGATTACAAAATCAATTAAAAAGTAAAACCTTGATCTATCAGGTTTTCCTGGGGAATTTCTATAAAATTAAATTTCCTGATTAATCACTTATGCTTTTGAGTTATGAAAAATGTTAATGGCAGAAAGAGAGAAAAGCAGAAGGTGTGCGGTTTCTAATGACCTGTGAATCACTCCAAATGGGAGTCTTTCCTCAGAGAGGCAAATATGCTGATATTTAAATGGAGATATAATTCCTCTATCACAATCTCTTTTCCAAAGAAGAAAGTAATATTTCCTTAAAGTTAGAACTGAGGACAATGTATGATTTCACAAGCTGGTCCCTATGATACTAAATCAGGAATAGTATTACTTAATAAAGCCAGTTTGGCAATATTTGGGCATTTTTAACTATGTGACTAAGTTTATCAATCCTTTGGCTCCTCATACGGTAAGTTATCTCTAATAGTTCACAGGGTTTTTCCAACAATTCCATAACCCCAAGAATACAAAAACGTTGTTGACTAGTAACACGGTTTGATTTGCATTAAACTCCACTGTTACATTTTAGTGGTTTTCTGACATTTTTTGGAAACCAAATTATTATCAATGTATTCTTCACTTTTCCTTTAAAAGGAACTTTAAGAGTGCTATTTTATCTCGAAAACTCTTGAAGCAAAATAAATGTGGATACCAACCTATTAATCTGTATTCTATTCTAGGGCAAACTACAGAAAGAACACTGGTAAGATATTACTGGAAGAAATTTTGTTTTCTTTAAGAAAATAAAAATCCTACTTGTGTGCTGGAGCCTGCTATGTTCCCGTAATGGTTCTTAAATTCCAAATCAGTTTAGCAAATTTTTCAATTGCAGTTTTATTTACATTCTGATACGTACTATCTGCCAACCTGCTATTAAAGAGCTACTAGCATGTTTTAGACAATCACTTATATTGCCATAAAAAAATATAAAGAAAAGCACTTAGGAATACTAAATAACAGCTTAAAAATCTTTCCTTTGACTCGAATTTCAAAGACTTAAAGCTGAGAGAAGGCGAAGAGAATAAAAGTACCACAGAATTTATTTTAATATTAATGGCTCATAACCAAAAAGATTATTCAAAAGGCACTCCTTTATCTCTTGAGAAGACAAGACACGCTCATTCATTAGAAAGACACACACACAGAGCCAGCCCTGATGGCTCAGTCGTTAAAGCTCAGCATGCTCTGCTTCGGCCTCCCCACCCCCGGGTTCGGTTTCTGGACGTGGAACCACACCGCTCATCTGTCACTAGCCATGCTGTGGCGGCAGCTCACTCAGAAGAACTAGAAGGACCTACAACTATGTACTGGGGCTTTGGGGAGAAAAAAAAAAAGAGAGAGAGAGAGAGAGGAAGATTGGCAACAGATGTTAGCTCAGCACAAATCTCTCCCAGAAAAAGACAGACACACACACACACACACAACTGGTATTTCTAATCACAAGCATGATTCAAAAGAAATACTTACCACGTAAGGTAATGCAAATTCTTCACACATTTCTACAGCAATATTGTCTGTTTTTTGAATTCCGACAACACTATCCACTAACAAAAATGTTCTCATCAAACTATAAGAATGCAAAAAATGAAGATTAATGGCAATACAAAATACACTCATTCATTTCTCCCTCTGACCCTCATGATACTAAGAAATTTCCCTTTGAGAAGCCAGCCCCGTGGCCAAGTGGTTAAGTTCACTCCCTCTGCTGCGGTGGCCCAGGGTTTCGCTGGTTCAGATCCTGGGCACAGACATGGCACCACTCATCAGGCCACGCTGAGGCGGCGTCACATATGCCACAACAAGAAGGATCTGCAACTAAAATATACAACTATCTACTGAGGGGATTTAGGGAGAAAAAGCAGAAGAAAAAAAAGATTGGCAACAGTTGTTGGTTCAGGTGCCAATCTCTTAAAAAAAAAAAAAGAAATTTCCCTTTGAATAATTCTTGATCCAAAATTTAAAAATTTCTTTAGGCAAACAGAATTCTCAATTCACCAGGAAGTGCATCCTACAGTCCAATAGGTCTCAATGCTATTTAGTTTCAATAACTAAATTCACTAAATATTCATTTATTTCAATATCATGTATTGAACATATGACACTCTGCCTGGGACTGGATACAAAGATGAGTGAGCCCCTTCCTTTAAGAGCTTGAACTCTAGTGAGAAAAGGAGGCATGACCCAATTAACTATAAGTTATCATAAAAATGTCTAAATTTTCAAACATTACTTTAAAACCAACAGATAACAGAAACCAGATACACATTTTGCATTTTCTTGTGTAAATATTTCATCTTAGTTTCTATGTAAAGTCACAACAAGCAAGATACATGTAAACACTTTTTTACACTTCAAAAGTTTAACTTAATTTTTCCATATATCAGGCAAGGCTTGAAAAATACAACTGCCAGGGGCTGGGCCAGTGGCACAGTGGTTAAGTTTGCATGCTCTGCTTTGGTGGCCCGGGGTTCGAAGGTTCAGATCCCGGGCACAGACATACACACTGCTCATCAAGCCATGCTGTGGCAGCGTCCCACATACAAAACAGAGGAAGACTGACACAGATGTTAGCTCAGGGCTGATCTTCCTCACTGAAAAAAAAAAAAGATAGAACTACCTATGGAGACAATACAAAGGTAACACTTACAGAGGATGTGATCTCAGAAGTATTTTAAGAATGATCAGAATTTACTGAAGTTTATTTAAATCTGGTAAATACCGAATTAACCCACAATTTTCATTTGCAAAATTAGCCAGCTAAGAGTTTGGTATAAAAAAATTAATAAACTCTGCTGAAGTACTATTTATAGTCTCAATTTAGGAAAACATTTGAATTTAAGATTAAGCTAACCTATAGGAAAAAACTAACCAAGCAGTACATACCTTGGTCCTAAATATTGTATTGGAGAATATTCTGAGAATAAAATGGCCTTTCTAAAAGAAGTCATTTGATAAAACTGAAGTGTTCATTATGTGCAGAATGCTCTATTAATGAAACCATGCTTTTGGGTTAAATGTATAACTATCATAAGAAATGTTTTTCCTTACTTCTTTCGTTCTTTTAGATAGGTCTCTACCATGTCAACAAAATCTTCAGGCGCTCTATAGCCATAACCTGGCATGTCCACCAATGTAAAATATTTTCCAACTTTGAAAAAATTCATTTTCTTTGTGTGCCCCTGATAAAGTAAATGGAAAAACAAAAGCTTCCTTAAAATATGTCCTTCATAAATTTCATGACTCAAAATATTTTCTATTCAATCAACAATATTTGTTAAAAGCCTAAGCAGTCTATGGATCATCCTAGCTGTGCTGATGACACAGGAAGAGAAGACAGAAGGGAAGTGGCTAGAGATGAGCTTAGATGATACCACTTCTCCCCTCCAGTTCATTTCTTTTTTTTAAAAAGGATCTAAATGACTTAAGAAAAACTTTAGATTCCATATGAGAAATATGTAGGCAAAATATTTTGGAGTCTTTCCTATTTTGTTATCCCTCCTTCAGTGAAAAAGTTACCCTGTTCTAAATGGTGTGACTGCATTCGTCAGTATTCTCTGATGAATAATGTATCTCCCCTTAAAGAGGAATGATTACGGCACAAATAGGTTAAATTAAATGCTTACCGTCAGTCACGCAGGTTTTCATAAAACCTAGATGCAAAGCCTGACAGTTTATTACACTAGACTACTGCTTCCCTAAATCAAGATGTTTTGCATGTTTCATTAGATGGGTTTTAGTGCTTTCATTAAAACATTTTCTAAAACACATACAACACTATATCTATGCAACTAAAATTGACATAAAGATGATAAAACTGGTTTATTCATGGTTTTGTGTCCACATTTATTAATCAGAAAAGGAAAGATTAAGATAAACAATCTGAAAAGCCAATTATTTGGAACTTAGAACAAATATTTTCAGAGGAAAGCTTTTATAAATGGTGCTTAGGTTCCCAGTTGGCTTATGTGTCTATCTTTGGGAAAATGATTTTAGAATTACAGATCAGGAATGTCAAGAATTTCTCCTATTGTCCTCCCACAGCATGAAAGGAACCTCCTACACAGAGGTGAAGTTTAGCTGGGTCATCTGGTGAGGCAGGGCAGGAATGAGGATGGGGGGTAACAAATGACAACACTCACCAGTGATGGAGCCAGGGAATCAGCTACGTGAAGAAGTGGGGAGCAGAGAAAACTAGTGAAGCCTCATGGAAGGGTTCCAATGAAAGGAGGGGGGGCAGTGAGCACTGGGCTGGTGGGAACATTCTGTCATGGATAGATAATAAAGTGAGGGGAACTGGGGGTGAGATTTGAGGAAAGGGTATCTTCAGCATCGGTAGAGTCTGCATCATCGAGAAGGAAGTGGAGGAAATTAGAAAATGACGGAAAGCTACTACACCAGACTGGCTGGGATAATAAGCACATAATTTGGCCCTGGGTAAACTGGGGACTGCCTGATTGGTGTATGTATATGAGTTAGCAAGGTATACGAAATTATAGGAGGAAAAAAACCACTTCAAAGCTGTTTCTTCTAAAATCAGTGTAGAACTAGATGATCGTTCTCCCGGAAGCAAATACAGAATGACAATAGAACAACTCTCTGGAAAAGATCTGGACCGAGGAAGATTTTCCAAAGATCTTTCCTAAAGATTTCCTAAAGATCCGGCTAGACTACTAAAATGAGTCCAGACACACTTCCTTTTCTTCAGAGAAATACACAAGCATTAATGAAATGTCTTAATTCACTACTTGTTTGAAAGAATCACTTTTCTAGGAACTTAGCAATTACGACTTCCTGTGCCTCCCAACATTTATTATTCATCTTAGTTCACAGATAGTTCAGACATAATATAAATTTCAACATACCGGTTTTTTGGAGACTCTGACTTCAACATCTGGGGCCAGTGAAAATAAAGCCTTTATTAGAGAGGATTTTCCAACATTGCTTCTGCCTATAAAACACACCTTATACAAGAAAAAAGAAGATAACTGAGTACTAGTTTATATATATATTTTTATTTTATGCTGTATGTCATATTAACTGCAAAAATCTGCCAACCTATTCAGTCTTGCCTCGCCATAAAAAGTGGCTTATGTTTAGTCAAACCTCAAATTCTAACATACAGCTACTATCTACTGAATGATTTCAATGAGCCAAGTACTGTTCCAAGCACTTAACATATATTTTATTTACTTTTTACAACATCTCCGTGAGGTCAGTAATATTATTATTCCCGTCTTACAGATGATAAAACTAGAGGCAGATACAGATTAAATAACTCGCCCCAAATTATACAGCTAGAAAGTGAAGGAGCTGGAATTTGAACTCAGGTCTTCTATATTCAGAATCTGTGCTTTTAATTACACTATGCTACTCAAGAATACCTGCAAGCATTCCCTATTCACAAAGCTTTTTGAAGTTAAAAACTAGATGCATTTCAACAAAACTGGCTCTAAAGTACAACCACACATTTGGAACCGCATTTCCCCACACACTCTATGAGGACACTGCAACACCGTTGTAATTAAGAGGTTATTCCTTTTCCGGCTCTCTCTTGTTCCAATTAAGCTTTTCTCCTTTAGTCCTCTATAGTGTAGAAACCAACAAAATATTCCTGATACTAACCATTAATATACGTGGCTCTGCTTTTTAACGCAATACTGAAGGCGGTACAATACCAATCAGTGGTTCTAAACGAGGGCAGTACCGCCCCCTGGGGGGTGTTTTGGAAATTTTTAAGGGCATTTCTGGTTACCAACGATTGGGTGGCATTTAACCGGCAGCGGCCAGGGATCCTATTTATTTTGCAAAACTGAGGGCAGTCCTTAAAAATGCATTGATCGGAGTCCTGCATAAATTCAAATGCTCTGCCAGATTAAATCCAATGATAATACAGAGATAATAAAACCGAATTTTAAAAAATGAATTACACAAAAAGTCCAGTCATTTTGAAGCTTAAATCGAAAAGCGATACTACCTCAAAATTATTAAATGATTTATGTACTCTTAAATTACTACAGCAGTGCTAAATATATTAGAAGAAAAGTTTCGATGCAGTGCTGCAGTTACTGCAAATATGTAAGAAGATACGAGCCTTCTTTCAGCAGACTTAGAACAAAATATTTTAAACTGCAGGACATGCATAAAACGCACACTCAGGGAATTTCAGCACAGTTTTTTTTAAAAACTCTACATTATTGCCATCTCTATATTTTTGCATATGATAGGAAATTTAGATTGGGTGAAAATTACATATCGATAGGGATTACCTCATTTGTGAAACTATTATGCTTTTCATATCCTTCACTTTTTCTAATTTGTCTCGGCATGTTCTCCCTCCTTTAATTATATAGGAAAAAGATAAAAAGGCAATGTTTTGAATGTTTAGTTTGGGTTTGAAAACCTTTTAAAGTCTTCTATATTCATCACCAAACTAATTAAAGTGATACATGCTTATTTAGTTAAGATAATTATATGCGTCCACACAAAGCTAGAAAATAGCTCTCGTTCGTTGACAAGAAACAGGTGATATGAAAATCCCCGCCAAGCCCGCGCGACCAGCGGGCGGCCGCGCTCTCACCTCCGGCCGGGGGAGGGCCGGGGCGTGGTCCAGGCGCTCGGCGGAACTCAGGTACTCGATGCGGTTCTGAGCGGTGGCGGTGAAGATGCTCTCCGCTCTCGCGATGTCCTCCAGGCTCGGGTCGAAGATCTTCAGGTGAAACTCATGCTTCGAGTCGGGGACAAGGTGCCGCTCGAGTTCCTGTAGCGGGAACACGAGTTTCGTCAATTGCTTCTTTGGCAGCCGCAGAACCTCCGCGAAAGCCTGGGATGTGCCGTAAGCTCGGCGCACGCGCCCCAGCGCCGCCGGCATCTCAAAAAGCCTGCCCAGGCCAGGTCGCAGCCCCGGTGCGGCCATTTTCCTCTCCCAGAAGCCCCGCAGCGGGACCTCATTCCTAGGGTCTCGGCTGCGTGTGCGTGTCTCCGCTCCCGCTACGCCTGCTGGGAATTGTAGTCTCCGCTTTCCTCGCTCGTTCCCGCCTAAGCTCTTCGGGTCCAGGATACGGAGGCAGGAGTTGCCCCCTTTGCTGGCTGCCTTTCGCACTCTGTCCCCGATGACTGTGCCTTTGACTTGTATGTCGCAGTGAGGAGACTGTTTAACGGTTTCCAGAGGTGAAAAGACATGTCTGACTGTTTGGTCCTTGAGTCTCAAGCAAAGAAGAAAACGTGTGAAGCTCTGGTGGATTCCAGGCCCGTTTGCACTTCACAGTTTCTGCTTATCTCACGATCATTGATGTTGACGACACATCGCAAGGAAACTTTTGTGAAAAAAGAACAGGGCTGATGAGAAATGGGGGTGAAGCAGCACCTGGTTTTCAGGGGAGAGACTGCCCATATTTCAGCCTCCTCCAAACCTGTAGGAAATGTCATTAAATTTTAGAGATTTCTTACAGAATGAAAGCAAAAACAATTTTGCACCGGTGTTATGGAGTTGTTTCGTGGAAGTTACATTCTGACATTTTATTTCAAAAGTTTCTTCTCAAAGCAATTCAAACTGATCAGCCCTGGAATGGGAGACACAGGTATCGTATGATGAAATGAGTAACTGAAAGATAGTCCTACTTAAAAAACTATAGGTCTTCTAAAACATCAGCAACAAACAGCGGAGGAATATTAACTCCCGGCCCTTTGAGCAGTTCCCCAGGTTGTTCAATGAATGAATGTGATACAAAAATTAACGAACAGGACCGAGGACTTTGAGAGCAGCCTGACCTGTGGCTGGCTGGCTAATTTTTTATTTTTTTTATTTTTTCCTTTTTCTCCCCAAAGCCCCCCCCGGTACATAGTTGTATATTCTTCGTTGTGGGTCCTTCTAGTTGTGGTATGTGGGATGCTGCCTCAGCGTGGTTTGATGAGCAGTGCCATATCGGCACCCAGGATTCGAACCAGCGAAACGCTGGGCCGCCTGCAGCAGAGTGCATGAACTTAACCACTCGGCCACGGGGCCAGCCCCTGGCTGACTAATTTTTGATTGAACTTTGCTTTAGGCCCGGAGGCTTTTCTCCATCCTCTAATCCCAGCTCCCCATAATAAAATACTTTATTGTACACATCTGGACATTTTGGATACATATATTGCTGTGTCTGTATTTTAATTCCAAATACTGGCCTAGGGCATTTTTTTCCTTTTAACAATATATTTGGAAGTCTTTCTGTAGCAATGGGTACTGACCTACTGATTGCTTTTAGTAGGAGGCATATTATTTCATTTATTTTCCTAGTGTCCTATTGGTCACTAATTAGGTTTTCTTATTACAAACAATGCTACAGTGAGTGTTCATGAATCGATATCTTTGCACACTTATGGAAGTAGATAAATTCCCAGAAGAGGACTTGATGGTCATAGGGTATGTGCATTTAGATTTTTTATATCTTTGTTGAAAATTATCCTATAAAGAAATTGCACCAAATTACTCCCTAATAACAAAGTACTACAGTATCAAAGCAGATTCTATAAAACTAGAGTATTATCATGTTGTATAATCTTGACAATATAATAGATGAAAAACTCATTTCTTGTTTCAGTTCATATTTTCCTGATTTTAGAGGGGATGAACATATTTTGACATTTTGTTAGGTCATTTTTGTTTCTTTTTTTGCCAAAATAAAAGGGGTATTAGATTATTCACCTTTAAAAATTTGATTTATAACTTTAATTATTCAGAACATTGACCTCTTGTCTGTCATGTTTTCCAAATATCTTTCCCAATGTGTTTATCTTTTGGTTTTTAAATAGTACTTTTGGTTGCACAGATTTTTAATTTGTAGGTGGCCAAACTGAACAGTCTTTTATGTATTCTTAGCTTTGTGTTATGTTTAGAAATTTCTTCTAAGATTATAAACAAATTAACCTATCTTTTCTTCTAGTAGTTTAATGTTCCTTTGCAGTTAAATACTTGATACATCTGGAATTTATTTTAAAGGAAAGAGTCAGCTAGGAATTCAGCTTTATTTTTTTTTGAAATGGTTAGCTAGTTGCCTTGATAATATTTATTAAATAATCCATCTTTTCTTCACTGATTGATAATACTACTTGTATCCTAATAACAAATTTTCAAATGAATGTGAGTCCATTTGCAGACAGCTCCGAACTTTGAAAGTGCTTTCGTATGTGCTATTTCATTTCTTAACCTTCAGGTCCCAGGTTTGGAAATAAACCAGAGCATCGAGGACTTTTTCCAATTCTCAGAGGGGTTTGGGAGGTATTCAGGCATTAACAGACATCACAGTCCTCCTTCTGTAATCCTACGTAGCTGTGGATCCACAATCACTTGACAGGACAGTTTTTGCAAAATAAACGTTTTTGTCATCCAAAGATTGAGAGGTCAAACAAACAATCCACTGGAAATACATGTGACAAGGAAAACCACTTAACAAATTATTTAATCATCCTTTTTTCTCCTTTACTCTATTTTCAAAAGTATCTATGTAAGCAAAGCATACAAACTTAGGAAAGATGATTTAGAGTAAATAATACACTATGCTTTCCCTGGGTAAATATGATTAAACTCTTCCCTAAATTCCACTGCAGGCAGAGGCATGCACAGCAGTGAGGTTTCCCAGGGAGAGGGAAAAAGCTAGAAACAGGAGGAATTAGCTTAGGGGAACTAACTCCATTGCAGAGCTGCAATGGAAATCACGGAGTCCACAGAGAATGGTCAAAGTCCAGGAAAATCAGGCCACATTGGTGTCGAAGGGCATTCAGTTGGTGGATAGGATGTTGCAATAGTACTCTCTGTGTTCTGGCAGTATTCTGACTCTGGTTGTTGGCAGCATCTTGGTTCCAGGTGGTCTGTCTGGCTGAAGCAGTACCCCAGCCAACGACTTTGGATTGGGAGTCAGGATCTAGCCTCCTGGCTAGGCAGGGTATCAGGGCTGAGATTCAGAATAGGATTAAGTCCTAGTGGGGAAAGGGAATGTGGATTAGGAAACCAAGCAGCTGCTTACGTCATGCAGATTGCCCAAACATAACAAGGATAGGAGATAGCGCTTGAATTGATCTCAGGGCATCTTAGCACTCCTCCCAGAGAACTGTGGAAAACCCACCCTTGTTCTACTTCCACAGCACTGAGGTCAGGACATAACTTTGCTAAACTGTGGTAGCCTGGGGAGGTGGATAAATGAGCACTGTATTCATGCACTGTCCTGTGCTGTACTCCTCCCTGTATAGTACTGTAGTGCAAATTATCTAACACTGAGAGTGATAAGGCACCCCCGCTCAATTTCATCTTTTGTTCATTCATCAAATATTTAATAAGCACTGATTACATGCCAGGCACTGTATTAGGAACTGGAGATATATGAGTGAATAAATGAAACAGAAAAATATTTCTGTCCTTACGTTATTGTCTTGTGACAATAAATAAGATAAGTAAAATACAGAGTATGTTAGGTAATAAATTCTTGGGGAAAAGCTAAAGGTGGGTAGGGAAATAGGATGTGTCTGTGTGTGTTGAGATGTGGGAGTGTTGCCATTTTAGTGTGGTCTTCACTGAGAAGGTGACATTTGAGCACAGACTTGAAGGAGGTGAGGGGATAACGAAGTGATGATCCGGGGGAGGCGTTCCAGGTGGAAGTGCAGACTCAGAGGCAGGAGTGTGTATGTCTTGTTTGAAGAACAGCAAAGAGGCCAATGTGACCAGAATGAAGTAAACAAGGATGCGTGCTGGCAGTGACTCTAGCCATTCCTATCAAACTTTACTTTGGATATAGACATTTTGTTTTTTAACACCTCAGTATTATTTTTAACTTTTTTTTTTTCACTGAGGAAGATTTGCCCTGAGCTAACATCTGTTGCCAATCTTCCTCTATTTTGTACATGAGCCACTGCCACAGCATGGCCACTGATAGACAAATGGTGTAGGTCTGTGCCCGGGAACCAAACCTGGCCTGCAGAAGCAGAGTGGGCTGAACTTAACCACTAGGTCACCGGGGTTGGATATAGACATTTGAAGTGAATGTATGTTTTTTGTTTTTGCTGTTTGGCATCCCTTACACAGAGAGAAGCCACCCACTCCCCCTCTGTGTGGTTCTAGAAGGGCTATCAATAACAGTGGTCAACTCTTCTGATCACAGCAGGTGGGATTTGGCCGTACATTGTGTGTATTAGGACAATGATGACTATTTGAGTAATGTGCAAGTGATCCCAACCATGCCAATTATTACGTTAAACTTGGATGGGCAGCTGGCTCTGCCACTGAGCCCTGTGTCGTGATGCTGGGATGCAAGTCCAGCACTCATGATGGCTGTTCTTCACTGCTACATGAGGGACACCAACAGTGCTTTAAGAAAGGATGAAGCTAACACAGAAAGAAAAACGGTACTGAGTGGTGGGGATGGGAGGCGGCGTGACTCCTGATAACCTATGGTGAATTTCATGTTCTCTGTCCCTCTGCTCTCCAATCACACAAGTCAATGTGTTCCTCTCCTTGTTTTGACTGAAACTGACTTGACTTGGATTTTCTGTATCTGCAACCAAGAGTCCTGATTAATACAGCATTATAAGGTGCTGTGTGGTTCCTTGTGTAAATCCACAGCCATCAGACTACCGTGCAGGGTGGTTGGAGAGTCCTATGTAAATTTCACTCCTCTTCTAGAGAGGCATGATAAAGTTTTAGGGCTTAAAATGTCTGTGAATGCAAGTTAAGCAGGTCAAAATATTATCCTCCCTCAAGCTGGACTTGAGGAAGTTCAAGTCTCCCTTCCACCCAGGGTATTTCCTTATCAGTGGGTATTCATGATCTTTGGTAAAGGTCAGTAGTCTGGTTATGTTGTGAAAATTAGCAGAGTTCAGGATGTGTTTATAGTCCTCCTGAGAAAAAGTGCCTTCTGTTGGACAGCTTAGGAGGTAGTTCCCCACAAAGTTAATAAGATTTTACTCTCTAATATGACTTGGGAAGATATTACATACTTTACTCACATTCCTGTAAATCAGCTGTTATTGCTAAAATCTATCTGACCTAAACGCCAAAGTTCTACTCTGTCATGTTCATCGAACGAGAGTGAAAGGAATGAACAGAGGTAGAGCAGAGGTGGGATCTTTTTCTTAGGACGGGATCATCTCAATTGTTCCTTCAGTGATGTCTGTCTCTATAATGAACTGTAATTGGGTTCCGAGTGGTCTCAATTTATGTCCAAGTCTGGTGGTTATCATGTTTAGGGAATTGATCTAAGACATGAAGAAAGCAAAGGTGGCCCTCGATGGGGAGGCAGACTCGGGAGTGTCAGAGAGTCAGCAAGCACAGCATACACATAGATTAACTCTCTTCCTGGGCTGGAAATGGTTTGAATGCTCTGACAGGAGCAAGGGCAGAGACTCTAGGACAACTTACGTCTAGATGCAGAGAGAGGTAATGGATTAGATCTCAGTGTCCAATTTACAGAAAACCTTTTCCTACGATACCTCTCCCCTTGTTTTAAAAACAGTAATTAACATTTATTGAGTGACTGCTATGTCAGGAATTAATCTGTGTGCCAGGAATAAAATAAGAGAAAAACATGGTCACAATCTAATTGGGATCTCAAAATCTTGTATTAGGAGGAAAATATTGGGAGGAAGAAAGGAAAAGGTATTATATGAAAGAGAGTATCACGGGAGTTGCTTGAATTGTAATTGAATTGTTTGAATGAATTCTTTAAATTTAAAATGCATTTAATTATATTTTCCTCAAGTTTTCTGTGCAACACTCATTTTAAAAATTTACGTTAGAGGGCCCAGCCCTGTGGCTGAGTGGTTAAAGTTCCATGTCCTCTGCTTCGGTGGCCCAGGTTCATGTGTTCAGATCCTGGGTGTGGACCTACTCCACTCACCAGCCACGCTGTGGAGGTATCCCACGCACAAAAAAATAGAGGAGGACTGGCACAGATGTTAACTCAGGGCTAATCTTCCTCAAGCAAAAAAAAGAGGAGGATTGGTACAGGTGTTAGCTCAGGGTGAATTTTCCTCAGCAAAAAAAAAAGAGAAAAAAGTTTACATTAAATACCACCTAACAGGTTGACACACATTTACAGCACACACATGCAACATAATGTATGACTTGTCCGCCGAATTTCCTGATTAGATTATAAATTGTTATTCTTGAAATTTCTTATTCTACTATCTTACAAAAAACAATGAAGACATATTTCCTATGACCCTCTTCTTTGGGAGCTCCTCAAATCATTTAGTTTCACTTTATATTTTGTTACTGTACCTTTGGAGAATATCTCTAACTTCAGAGAGGGTTTTTTTCTTCAGAGAAGCTTTTTGAGCTTTCTTTTAAGGTTGTGCTTGCTGTTCAAACACGTTTCTCTAAAGAGATCTGGAGATTAAATATCAGAGAGTGCTCATGTGTAGGAGGTGAGTTCTTAGAATGATTTGGGTCTGGAGGAGGAGGGTAGAGCCTCGCTTCCCTCAAGCTTGTTTTTCTCAATAGAGAGAAAAATAATTATTTTATGTAGTCAGTTTTCTCATTTGTAGTTGTATGTTTGATCTCTCTGCCATACTAGCGCGATTAAAATATTTTAGAACACTCTTTAACTTGTGTTTTTATATTATACAGTTTTTTTTTTTCTTGCTGGAAAAAAACATGGGTTTGGCTGTTCTCACTGATGAATTCATTAACCTTTTAATTCTTATTACCTGTTAGGCAGGGTTATATTTTGATGGGCAAGTTTACTTGGAGGTGCACCTCTAATTTACATCTTCGTTGCCTTCTTGGGAGTAAATATGTGCTCTCCGGCACTCTGCATCAATGAGACAGCTTTTCAGAGGCAGAGATGCTGAGATACATTCAGATTGTTTTATTCACTCACAGGGAGATTGTGTCAGGGTCCCCAAGACTACTCCCCAAATTTGGTGATTCTTTAGGCAGAATCGCAGGACTCAGCTTATGGTCGTACTCATGGCTATGAATTATCACAGTAAAAGGATACAAAGCAAGAGTGGGAAAGGGAAGAGCACTCAAGGTGAAATCTGGAGGAAACCAACCAGTCCCGAGCTTCTGTCAGTCCTCTCCCAGTGGAGGTGCACAGGATGCATTTAATTCTTCAGTAACACGCTATGACAACACGTGTGACATGTCTACCAGGAGCGTTCTCCTGAGCCTGGGGCTCTGAGTTTTTATCATGGGCTGGTCGTGTAGGCACCTGGTGCCTGTGTGACTGACTGTGATCACCGACTTTCCAGACTCGCAGAGGGACAGCAGGTGTTCGGCGTAAACCACGCAGTTTGCACAAGCAGTTTAGATACAGGCAGCCACTGTTACCACTTAGGGAAGATTTCCTAATCAAGTGCTCAGACGCCAGCCAAGGGCCAATCTGTGAGCAAGCCTTTCTAAGGGCCGCCGTCACAGGCCTGCACATACATTAAAAGGTGAATTCAAAAATGAGGAGTTTCTCATCTGCACTTGTTGTGAGATTATATACTTGTAGGAGAAGTATATTCCAGGTTCAGCTCTAAATACGAATGATTTTTCTGGAGATTTTTGAGAAAACTGGGACAAACCTGCTCTAGTCATTTTAGTGGAGCATGGCGAAACGAGAACTCTTCATGTTGAAGGAGGTTATAACCCAAGCTGCTGCGTCAGCTGCTGTCAGGAAGGATGAGGCCTTTGGAGAGCAGAGCAAGGAACATTAGCAATTGAACTGGTATGAACAGCAGATCCTAGATGGACTAGGTGAGCCCTGGGGTGTTTAGCTGGAGTTGAGTGCAGTTAGGTCCTGCAACATTCCCTCCAACCTCCTTACTTACCTCCTTCCTGAGCTGGACAATAGATTACAAAAGAGTCTTTATGATTACTTTTAGAAAGGAGTGATGTCTGGGGTAGAGGTATGAGGCAGTTACCTGATAGGCAGGATCTCCTCAGAGGAGGACACAGAAAGAGCCATTGACCCCAGAATGTAATGCCAGATGGTCTTCGTGCTGTGAGGTCCATCTACTGCCTAAACTAGTACAAGCTAGGGCCCAGACTGTCACTCCTCTCCCTTGTATCTGCCTTGCCAACATAACTAACTGATTTTACCGTGATAATATGAGCTCACAAACTCACATTATGAACCCACAAGCCAAAAAAAAAAAGACAAAAAAGTCACTCTAGAAGTAATCAGAGTGAATGGATCTGGTGGACAAAGAATTTACAATAAAAACAGTAAATATCATCAGAGAGATAAGGGAGACTATAGAGAAACATGTAACAGGAAGCTTCAAAGAATCAACTGGAGATACTAGATATGAATATATTATCTTTGAAGGAAAGATCTTACTGGACGGGTTTAATAATTGAGTAGCAGAATGAATACAACCAAAGAAGAAAATATTGAGCTGGATCTTCAGGATGGAGAATATTCTAGGAAAGCACTAGGAAGGGGTAATAAGATGAAAAATAAAAAAATGTTCAGAGCTGTGAGGGATAGAAGAAGAAATGTTAGTATCAATATCATTGGAGTCACTGTCAATTAAATGGAGGGAAGTTAGTACTTGAAAAAATAATTATTGAAAAATTTCCAGAATGGAAGATGTAAGACCTCAGTTTGAAAGGGCTCATACAACAGAATAGATGAAGGAAACTCTACACCAGCCATACTGAGTTAACATTTTAGAGCACCAAGTTCAAAAAGCAAATGTTACAAGTCTCCAGAGGATAAATGCAGGTCAAGTACCAAGCAATAAAAATCACATTAAATTTTCTGAGTAGCAGCACAGAATGCAAGAAAAGAATAAAGTCGCATTTATCAAGCGTTGAAGAAAATGAACATCGAGCTCAGTAAAGTTTGACTACATAAACAATGACCCGAAAAACATATTCTAACAATCTAGCACTAAAACTCTAGTCTAGACCAACGCTACTTTGACTGCGGTTCAAAAAATAGTTTGTTACCATCTGGATGAGACAGGAAGCTTGTGCAGGAAAGTAGATCAAGACGCTGCTGCTTTTATTGAGAAAATCTTGCTAGGAGAAAAAAAGTCAGCGGGACTAAACTGTGCTTAGTAATACAGATGGTTTACACTTTGACACAAAGGTCCTTTTTTAAAATATCAAGACTGGTATCAAACAGTTTGTAGACCAGTGCTTGTTCATGAAGCACATTTTGAGCAGCACTGCTGTAGATGATATCACTGTGGGGTGGAAGTGCACGTGGCCATCGGAACGTGAGAGTGAGCATCGGAACGTGAGAGTGAGCTTAGCTATTTGTCTTGGTTTTGTGGTGGAGAGAAGATTTAGATATAGATAAACTTTAAATTTTTTAGGGAAAAAGAAGCGTAAATATGAGTGTTATTAAGTTGCATTGTTCACCGTAAGAATGAAAATAGGATGTAGACCTTTTAAAATAGAATAAGAAAGTTGAATTCTTCTAATGGGAGTATTAGAAAAGGATAAGTAAATAAATTTTAAAAGTATGACACATAGATAACTAGAAATACGATGGCTAAAATAAGATCTACTATCATAGCAATATAATAAATGTAAATAGTTTAACCAATAAAATGATAGGATTCTCAGATAAGTAAAAAACAAACACAAGACAACAGAAATGCAAGATTCAAATCCGTTAGATAATTCTATATGTTGTTTTTAAGGCAAAGTTTAAAATAAAAATATTTGGCCTTTTGACTTCTTCTAAACTATTTATTTGAAGCTGACAGGTGGGTGGGGCCAAGCCAGGAGGCAGCTGAGAGGATTAATATCTAGACTATAAGGAACTTTAGTATATCACCAAAAAATATAGTTAACCCAGATAGAAAGACAAAAGTCTAGGAAAGCATATGAATGGTCAATTCACTGAGGGGGAAAACTGAATTGTGTAGAAACAAGAAAAGGATTTATGGCTAACTATATAATGGCTTATGAATTATGTATATTTTATGATTCTTCCAAACACAGATGGACCATCAAGAAAACATCCAGACTTACGGAACAGTAATTGAATTGGCCATCTTTGATATTTTGCAGACATTGGGTCTTATAAAAACTATAGGTTTACATTAAATTTTTTTTTTAATTTTAAGTTGTGTTTGTTAAGGTAGGAGGATGGAGCATATTTTAGTTAACAATTTGTTATCTTGATTTATAACATTAAAATATTTGGATGTGTGATATATAAGCTTCCATCTGCACTCTCACCTGGGCCCCACAAATATCAGGGGTGGGCCTGATAAAGGAGGAAGAATAATAAAAGAAATTCGTAGCAGGGCTTCCTACATATTGTGGAAGACTGCATAAGTGGAGCAGTGGTTAAACGGTGTATTAATGTCCTATTGCTGTTGTAACAGAGTACCACAAACTTAGTGGCTTATGACAACACAAACTTATTGTCTTACAATTCTGGAGGTCGGAGGTCTGAAATGGCCTTGACTGGGCTCAAATCAAGGTGTCAGCAAGGCTGTCTTCCTTCTGGAAGCTCCAGAGGAGAATCTGCTTTCTTGTCTTACAGCTTCTAGAGGCAGCCTGCATTCCTTGCCTCCTGGCTCCTTCCTCCACCTTCAAAGCTGGTAGTGCAGCCTTTGCATCTCTCTCATGCTGCCTCTGACTCTCCCTCCCTCTTTCACTTATAAAGACCTTTGTGATTATATGAGACCCGCCTAGATAATCCAAGATAATCACCTCATTTTAAACTCCTTAATTTAGTCACATTTGCAAAGTATAAGGTAACATCTCACAGGTTCTACAGATAAGGACGTGGACATCTTTGGGGGGGACATGATTCTGTCTACCACAAATGGAGAGCGGGAATGGGGAAGCAGGTGGGAACTGAGCCCTCGGAGGAACATTTTCACTTTTTACTTTATACCATTTTGTACTGCTGTACTAAATTTTGTCAACAAGAAATTACTTTTCTAATAACAGTCATTTAAAAATTTATTTTGATCCCTCAGCCATTTTTTGTTTCTTTTTATAGAAAGTAAATTTTATATAGTGCTTCTCTTTGACTTGTGGAAGCATTATTTTGATGGCCTCTTAAAGTCATTGTTTTAAATAATCCCATGTAATAGAGATACACACTGATGTACATAGAGCACAGCTGAGTTACCGAATAATAGGACTTGAATAAAGCAAACTTTTGGAAGAAGAATAACGGTGGAATAAAAGACTAAATAAGGAACAAAAAAAGATACTCAGGAGGTATGTCAGCATGTCACTTCCACAAAACTAGTTCCAACCTGTGTGTTGGGTCTTATTCATTAACACTAATATCCTGGGGGTCAAGGAGTTGTTATTTGCTTCCAGATGGGCCTAAGATAAATAGTAAGTTAAATACTGACAACATGTTTCTGGGAAAGCTTAACTCTTTTAGCAGTAGTAATAGTCTATTTCCATCTTTTCCTGATCCTCTCATATCGACAAACCAAATTTAAGCAGTCATGAAATACATTATTTTAAAACAGACTATTTAATGCATGTGAAGTGGACAAAGAAAAAGCAGCCTAACCTTAACATGGCCACCCAATTTCCTTCTCCTTATAGTATCTCCCAAGACATTCTAATGGTCTAGGTGTCGTCCCTCTGCGTGGAGGCGTCTAATGATGAATACTGTGATAGTGATTTACTCTTCAAGACGGAGGCATAGTTGCTTGTGTTCCCACTGCCGTTGGTTGTGGGGTTTTCATTTTGAAGAATCAGGGTTTACAGATCAACTTGTGGTGCAAGCCCATTCCTGATTTACCCTCCCCAAGGTTGCTACACCACCAGCAGGAGCTCACTCATAATTGGTTTTTTCACTCTTAGGACTAATTTGTTAGTAGGTGGGCACCTTTTCTTACAGGTTTGATTACTTTGTCATGTTCAGCCAAGTAAAATATAGAAACACTAAATCAAAAAAAGATCTTAATCTACTTCCTTTTCTTGATACAGAGCATTCAACACCTAAACATTTTCAACAGTCTCATAACACTTCTTTTCCTAAGGTCAGATAATCATATCAGTATACTTTAGAAAATTCCCCTAGACACACTTTCAAATCATGTTAAACCAATCCAAAATTGTTGGCAACATATTAGATAAGTGAGAATTAAAGCACACAAAAAGGAGAGATCATTAGTAGGAAAATAGTCACAGAAACATCATTTAGATAGATGTTAGTGCAGCTTAAACTCTCACAAGGAAAAATATCTTAATGTAGATCTTTGAACTTTTAAAATTCTTAAATTTGATCTATGGAATATCCGAGCTTTTATGTTGCATTGACATAATCAGTGCTACAAGTGACCAGAATAAACAACAATTTTAACAGAACCGATTGATGAAAGTCGTGTTAAACGCGGCAGCTACAAAATACAAAGGATTTTCAGCTTCTGGAATCGCTTTATCTTTTTGCTGCTACCCAAAAGTTAAATGGCAGAGTGACTTATTTTTTAAAAACCATGCTTTTGAATTCATAACTTCATGTTTTCTTTTTCCTACTCCAACACAGTAGAGATTGGTGAAATGGTCAAGTTCAGGAAATATTTTTAAGGAAGAACCAAAAGACTTGCTGATGGATTGTGAGAGGTGAGGAAAAGTAAAGACTCAGAAGATGGGACTTCTGTATCAGGAAATGGCAGACAGAAATTCAGACCAACAGTCCCACTGAAGACAAGTAGGAAAGCTAGACATAATAATAATAACAGCAATAACCCTACTGGAAAGTATCAGAGAACTTGCAAGGTAACGAAGAATTACTTGGCCAAGATCCAGAAAAAGAGAGAAATACAGAATGGTGAGCTTGGACCTTAGACCTACTTTACCCTGGGGATATTTGTTGATCCAGAAGAGCTGGCTGAAAGGTTAAATAATGCTTTGACAGCTTCTTGAGGAGGCAGAGGTGGGGGGAGGAGGGAGAAAATAAAACCACTGCTCACATAGATTACAATCAAGCATTGAGTCACATGGTGGCCTAGAAAATCTGTCCTTAAAATTGGATTAAGATGATCAAGATTGCTAATGTTCATAGATAACTGGCAGAAGTAAAAGAAAATCCTCTCTGGAGAAAGATAAAATCATACGAGCCTCAAATTATTTCTATAATTTGAAAAACAAAGCAAAATGCCTGGCACATGAGGAAACCAGACTTCATAGAAAAGAACCAACAGAAACGGTAGATGTTAGAGATTTACTCACAGCTGCTCTAAATACTGGAATTTTCAGACAGAGACTTTAAAATAGTCTTTTTACATTCAAGGAGACAAAAGACAAAATCAAAAGTTTGGGTGGAGAACTAGAAATTACCGAAATGACAGCAGATTTGAAAAAAGAATCAAATAGACATTCTAGAACAGAAAAGAAAAATACAGTAACCAAAAACTAAGTGGCAGAACTGAAGTTGAAACCCAGAAAATTCAACTTTAGGGGCTATAGTCTTAACAGCTACTCTCAAAACTAGGAAAAAAATCGTGATATTCTTAAACTTCCAAATTTAACTAATTAAACTTAATCCAACTTAAACTACTTCCCAATTATTCATTGAAAACATTAAATCATCTCATAAAAGATAGACAGCGTGGTCAAATATGTTATTTGGGAATAAAACTTATAAGTCACTGATATAAAAAACCATGATGGTTCAATGGACCATTTGTCACTCTCCTGAAAAAGGTCCATTGAAATTAAATGAAATTGCAGACAGATGGCAGCTCCTATGACTGGTACAGTTTTCATGTTTCATGTTCTTTTACTAGGATGTTACAAAGAATTCATTTATTTATTCATTTAATACTGTCTGAGACATTTAAGGGGATACCATTTGGCTCAGTCCGGAATACTACTTTTTAAAATTTCCTGTCCCTCTTGCCTCTAGCAATGAGGGCTTTTTGGAGATCAGATGACACCTGTCTCTTCAGAATGCTTTGCCTGGATGTCAGTTTTTAGCCAAGGTATATGTCTTGGCTTTTTATTCTTTTCAATTCATTTCAGTATTCTTCTGGACTTCCCCTTCCCAGGTGTCGCTCATAGATGAAAATAACATAACGGCCTCTAGAATATTTTTTTTTCTGTGAGAATTGGCATTTATTCCTGAAGTTGCCAAAATCATCACCAAAGATTCACCAAGGAGTGTGTAAAGGGAAAGAGGAGACTCGAACACTGATTGAGGGGCCAAGTCAGGAGTTTGGAGGGAGGGGGAGTGTTTGGGGGGACCCCCAGCTGTCCCTCCCTTTTCTAATACCACTGGAAAGGGTTCCTCCTCTGGCCAGCACCTCTCCCCATTAGCCATGTCCAGTTTCTCTTTGGGGAGGTAGAGTGGAGGAGGTGGGAAGAGGGTGCAGTGTGAGTGGTCTCCAGGAGGGCTCAGGGCACTAGGGTGGGGACTGGGTTCCTTGTTTCACATGCATCTTAATGCAGAGCTCCTCCAAGCTTAAATTTTCAGCAAGATTTCTATTCATTAATTTGGTTTCTCAGGAATGAAAGACAATTGGTTGGAATACCATTGTACTTGAGACTAGAATTA